TAGCCAGGATGGTCTCGATCTCCTGACCTCGTGATCCACCCGTCTCGGCCTCCCAAAGTGCTGGGATTACAGGCTTGAGCCACTGCGCCTGGCCCGCTTTTTACTCTTAAACCTGTAAATTTTATTTCTTCACATGTGCCATGCTTTTTCTTAGAGAACTTTTTAGATACTGTTCTATCTGGAACATATAAATCTTTCATTGATGCTCCAAGGCCACATTAAATGATCATAAGTGACTTCATTACCTCCGAGTACTTACTTGTTAATGGATTCATCAAACCATATCATAACTGTTTCTGTACTTGTCTGTACCTGCTACAGAGTTATGTTGCCTCTGTGAACAAAGGTTAATGTCCTGTGTGCCCAGCATGTGCACGTGTGAGAAAAATAGCTAATCACTAAATATTTGTTGAATGGCTACATGGTTTCTCATCATTATTGCCTTGACTGTGTAGTGGGAAGACATCTGTCTAACAGACGGAATTGATTGCTTTCTGAAAATTAATGTCTTGTAATTTTCTTTTCTTTTTTATTTTTTTTCCGGAGACAGAGTCTTGCTCTGTCACCCAGGTTGGAGTGCAGTGGTGCAATCTTGATCTTGGCTCGCTGCAACTTCTGCCTCCTGGGTTTAAGCTATACTCGTGCCTCAACTTCCTGAGTAGCTGGGATTACAGGCGCATCACACCGTGCCCGGCTAATTTTTGTATTTTTGGTAGAAATGGGGTTTCACCATATTGGCCAGGCTAGTCTTGAACTCCTGACCTCAAGCAATCCGCCTGCCTCAGCCTCCCACAGTACTGGGATTACAGATGTGAGCCACAGTGCCTGACTACGTTTTGTAATTTCTCTTGGATCATTTGTCCTGTGATTGCACCTTTATGGTCTTTTTCATCCTCCAAATTGCCAAGCCTTGTCAGCATATAGTCTTGGAATTTTTTTATTTTTTGAGACTGCGTTGCAGAGGCTAGGGTACAGTGGTGCGATCATGATTCACAACAGTCTTGACCTCCTGGGCTCAGGCTGAGGAGGGAGGATGCCTTGAGCCCAGAAATTGAGGCTTCAGTGAACCACGGTTGCACCACTGCCTCCAGCCTGGGTGATAGAGTGAGACCCTGTCTCTAAAAAAAAATAAAAATAAAAATAAAGAATTGCGTATATTATTGGGGTAAAAACTTATTTTGCAAAATTAATAGAGTTGATTGCTCACAGGCAGCAACTAAACAATCAAATGCATCATCTGATGTTGAAGTTGAAGAAAAGGAAACTAGTGTTTCAAAGGAAGATACCGACCATGAAGAAAAAACCAGCAATGAGGCATGTTCTATTTCTCCTAACATTTTAAACCCATTTTGTTTCAAGGAACAAATAATGAAATAAGTTGGCCATGATTATTAGTAAGTAATTTTTAAAGTACTTAAAAAGTGAATTAGAAAATATTTAAGGCTTATTTCCTTGTGTAAGTATTAAATACAGTATTGCTAAACAAGTTGTGCATCTTTAAGATGCATACATGTTATTATTTGAAGTTATTTTTATGCGTAAAACATGAAGTACAACTATAGGGTGTGGTAGTGTTAAGAATATTTTTTAAAGGGAAGTATTGTGGGATGGATGTACTGGAAAGAGCATTAGACTGAATTTTTAAAAACCTAGATTGATGTCCAACTGTATATGATCTGTGTATAAAGATTACTCATTTAGCCCTTTTAGGCCTCATGAAGTGGTTGTTAGACGATCTTCAGAGTCCCAGCCACCCTTTAAAATTCACAATCCTAAAATTCAGAATTCTAGTGTAGAAAAAGTAGTTTTATAAATGTAAATAGACAAACTTCCTGGTGTACTAGCAAGCATGACTTTCATATTTGATCTGACAGTGGAAATGCATTTTTCTCACTTTATTAATGTTGAGACATAATGTTTATAATTTCAGAACTCTACAGAGCAAAACAAATTTCCCCAGTGCTTTTAGTTAAACATGCTTGTGACTGTTAGTTTAAGAAGGTTTCTTTCATTCCTGGAATGATTTATTCAGTATTCAGTTTTCTTTTTTCTTTTTTAGGATGTGACTAAAGCAGTTGACATAACTACTCCAAAAGCTGCCAGAAGAGGGAGAAAGAGAAAGGTAATTTCACAGACTTACCAACCACAGGGATCTGAAAAGAATTTTTATTTCAGTTGGGTTGAGGGAGAGTAGATATAATGAAACTTTAAACTTCAGCTTTTATTCTAAACCCTTTAATTTTTTATGGGTTATGTTTTACTTGGCAAAACTATCTGTGTTTCTTTCTTAGTGATGTAGCACCTTTAAAATAACTTGAGTGGTAAAGGAAATGAAATGCACCAGTTTTCATTCATTTTAATGACTGCTTCAGTTTCTCTAAAATGGCTAGAAATACATACTCGAAGGTTGTGGAGGATGAAATGATTTAACATATGTAAAATGTTTATGCTAAATCCTGGTACCTAAACACTAGTAAGTGCTATATAAGTGTTGTCCATTATGTTTTTGTTATTGTTACTTCACAACATTGTTGTGAGAAATGAGTGTGAGTGACAGTGTGCAAGGTTAGGTACATAGTAGGCTTTTAATTAATATGAAACTTACGAGGTTTTGTTCACACCCTTTTCTGACCTATTTATGTCTCAAATTATTATTATATACCAAAGATACAAAGAAAACCAAGAGTTCAGTATCTCATGAGGAGGTAAACTGTGAAAATAAATAATTATAGTGGCTTATTTGCTATGTAGTATGGGTTGGAGGTGGTGTGATAACAGGATTTTAAAATACAGGCAGAATTTTGTCAGGCAGATGAAGCAGCAGGGAAGGACACGTGAAGCAATTTGAATAGCATATACAGACACATAGCAGAAATTCCGTTTCAAGCATCTTGAGTATTGTATTTCAGTATTAACACACCATAAAGTTTGAGGGAATAGGTACCCAAAAAACCTGATGTTGTCCTAAAGACCTTGGAACTTACAGAAGTGATGGGAAATGATTGAATTACTTCAAATTTTAGATACCTCCTTTAAAAAATTTTTTTAAGAGATGGGGTCTTGCTCTTGTCACATAGGCTAGAGTAGTGCACTGGTGCAATCACACCTCACTGCAGCCTCAAACTTTTGGGCTCAAGGGATTTTCCCATCTTACCCTCTCTAATAGTGGGGACTACAGAAGTGTGCCACCACACCCGGCCTTTTTTTTTTTTTTCTGAGACGGATCTCGCTCTGTTGTCCAGGCTGGAGTGAAGTGGAGCAATCTTGGCTCACTGCAACCTCCACCTACCGAGTTCAAACAGTTTTCCTGCTTGGGCCTCCCAAACTGGGATTACAGGCACACACCACCATGCCTGGCTAATTTTTGTATTTTTTGGTGGTTTGTTTTGTTTTGAGATGGATTCTCACACTTGCACCAGCTGGAGTGCGGTGGCACCATCTCGGCTCACTGCAACCTTCGCCTCCCAGGTTCACGTGATTCTCCTTCCTCAGCCTCCCGATTAACTGGGATTACGGGTGCACACCACCATGCCCGCCTAATTTTTTTGTATTTTTAGTAGAAATGGGGTTTTACTATGTTGGCCAGGCTGGTCTTGAACTCCTGGCCTCAAGTGATCCACCTGCCTTGGCCTCCCAAAGTGCTGGCGTGAGCCACCGCGCCTGGCTAATTTTTGTGTTTTTAGTAGAGACAGGGTTTCACCATGTTGGCCAGGCTTGTCTTGAACTCCTGACCTCAGGTGATCCGGCCACCTCAGCCTTCTGAAGCGCTGGGATTATGGCACCGGGCCTGGCCAATTTTTTTTTTTTTTAATAGAGATGGGGTTTTGCTATGTTGCCTAGGCTTATCTCAAACTCCTAGCCTCCAGTAATCCTCCCAAAGCACTGGGATTACAGATGTGAGCCTCTGTGCCCAACTTGATGCCTCATTTTTTTCTTTTTTTTTTTAATATAAATTTGGTTTTTTTTTTTTTTGGATACAGAGTCTCATTCTGTCACCCAGACTGGAGTGCGGTGGCGTGATCTCAGCTCACTGCAACCTCCACCCCCTGGGTTCAAGCGATTCTCCTACCTCAGCCTCCTGAATATCTGGGATTACAGATGTGCACCACCACGTCTGGCTAATTTTTGTATTTTTAGTAGAGATGGGGTTTCACCATAGTGGCCAGGCTGGTCTCAAACTCCTGGCCTCAAGTGATCCGCTCACCTCTGTCTCCCAAAGTGCTGGGATTACAGGCGTCCGCCACCATACCCAGCTAATTTTTTGTATATTTAGTAGGGACGGGGTTTCACTATGTTGGCCAGGCTGGTCTTGAACTCCTGACCTCGTGATCCGCCTGCCTTGGCCTCCCAAAGAATGCATCATTTTTTAAAGCAGTGTGAATGGGGACTGGATTGGGGCATTGAAACCAGTTCACTGTAAAATTCTTTCAGAATTTTAGTACTAACTACTGGCCCTGGCATGGATTTGAGTAGTCAATAAAGAAGACAAGGTCTTTGTTTCCATTGAACTTAATGTTTTTGTTTTTTTTTTTTTTGAGACAAAAAATAAATATTTAAAATAAGAGGGTCTAAATGGGGAGTTAGTGAGTTGGCAGCCGACTAGGCTACAAAAGGCCTTTCTAAGGAGTTGGCATGAGACTGGAAGGACAAGGATCTTATAGCAGATTTTTTAAGTGGTATAGAGGAGAGATGGGATTTAAGAGCACTTAAAGAGGTTAAGTTGATGGTTGATGAGAAGTGGCTGGTGAAGGCGGGGGGCAGAATCTAAGGTGGCTCCAAGGTCTTTACTTGAATAACTAGTTATTGGGAGTGCAGAGGATGTTGGTTTGGAATCACAGGCATGAGTAAGGGGAAGGTGAAGCACCTGTGGGAATTGGAGTGAAGAGATATATATTTTGTATATATATTGTTCTGGCACCAAAAAGAGAGAAGATGTAAGTTACAGATGCAGTCTCTGGCATGAAGACAGGGTAATAGATGAGGTCAAAGGAGAATTGTTTATTGAGAGGATGCAGAAACCAGAATCCTGAAGGAATATAATGGAGAGCGGGGAAGGTTGCTCTGTGAAATTATGGCTGAGAATGAACTGTCAAGAGAAAATCTAAGAGGATATCAAGCTAAACAAGGGAAGGGAGAACGTTCCAGAATGAAGAAGTGGTCAGTAATGTCCTGATTTACAGAGGGTCCCAGTAAGATACTTGCCAAATAGACTCTTCTAGGATACTTTCAGGTGAACTCCATTTAGTTGAATGGTAAGGACAGAAACTAGATTAAGGGGTTAGAGAATAAATGTTTAATGGTAAAGTTACACTGTGCTTTTGAAATCTTTGAAGGAAAGGAGAATGTGGCAACTTCATAGGGGTTTTCATGGCTAAGGGAAAGTGTTAAAATGACAAAAGACAGTAGATGCCCTAACACTTTTTCTTTGCAAAATTAGGAAAGCCTGTAATGCCAACACTTTGGGAGGCCGAGACGGGCGGATCACGAGGTCAGGAGATCGAGACCATCCTGGCTAACACGGTGAAACCCCGTCTCTACTAAAAAAACAAAACAAAACAAAAAACTAGCCGGGCGAGGTGGCGGGCGCCTGTAGTCCCAGCTACTTGGGAGGCTGAGGCAGGAGAATGGCATAAACCCGGGAGGCGGAGCTTGCAGTGAGCTGAGAACCGGCCACTGCACTCCAGCCTGGGCGACAGAACAAGACTGTCTCAAAAAAAATTAGGAAAGATCAAAGATGTAGAGTCAGTATAAATTATTTTACATAAATATGTGTTGGATGAGAGAATGGAGGGGACATTGAAGGAATTGACTTAACAAGGAAGAGATGGATATTACAGTCTCTAACACTGAAGGGGAGGGATGAAAGAGGCTCTGAAAATTTCTTGGGACACTAGGAAATTAAGGGAATTCCTTTCTATGGCCCTTACTCCCTTCTGCCCTACCCACATCAAAGCAAGACTTTGGGTGTGGTACAAGTCAGGAAGAATGGAGTGAGTGTTGATGCAGCTGTTGATGGGAGAAGGAGGCCTGATCAGAGAGGGTAAAGTGACTTTGAGATCTCAACTGAGATTGCATAAAATGAATGCATGTTTGTACATTTTTTTTTTCCAGCAGGCCTCAGCAGCTGGGAATAATAGAACAGAGAAGGTAGAATTGTATAGTAACCTCTTTCTTGAGGATTTGTGGGACAGATATAGCAAAACAAGGATGTGGAGGACTTATGAATGCATTTGAATGGTAATCCCATGAGGTTTTTGTGTGCGTGTGAGGTGGCATGTTTTTAGTTAAGATCAAGGAAGCTGTTAGAGCTAGAAAGTGGGGTAAAAAATGAAGAGAAAATGAATTAAGGGGTTAGAGGTCTCAGAGCAAGTAAAATACGGAAGAAATAAATCTGTAGTCAAGAGTGTAAAATATTTGCATTTAAGATGTTTAAATATTTAAGCATATCCTAAGAGTGGAAAAAACTTTAAATATGTGTATTTCATATAACTTCATTGGTCCTTTCTTTAGATAAAATGTTTCTGATTTTATTTTCATGAGGAATGGTTCTGACTTGCATGATTTTGCTATAATAGTCGTGAACACACATGCATGGTAGGGCTGATCTCTTAGTATTAATATATTTTTAATTATTATCGATGAACTTGTTACGCTTATTGGTACCTCCTTAGAAACCATCTCTTCTACCTATAATTTTTTTTTTTAAACTTTTTAATTTTTTTCTGAGATGGAGTCTTGCTCTGTTGCCCAGGCTGGAGTGTGGTAGCAGGATCTCAGCTCACTGTAATCTTCACCTCCTGGGTTCAAGTGATTCTCCTGCCTTAGCCTCTTGAGTAGCTGGGATTACAGGCGCCTGACTTATTTTTGCATTTTTAATAGAGATGGGGTTTCACCTTGTTGGTCAGGCTGGTCTTGAACTCCTGACCTCAAGTAATCTGCTTGCCCCAGCCTCCCAAAGTGCTGAGTGGGATTACAGGCATGAGCCACTGCGCCCAACCCTACCTATAATTCTTATTCAGTGTCTTGATTTATTTCCAAAAGCAGAAAGTTAAGTGAAGAGTCTTCTTTGCACCAAAGAATTGATCAGTTATAATTTTAGCCAAATTATGCCCTCTTCTCAGTAGGAAAAGAGCTCTCAGTCTTGAGTTATTAAGCTTTGTTACCTGGGGAGCTTTTTAAAAACACAGAATCCTGGTTCCCTGACTCAGAGCTATCGAATCAGGATTGGGGCAGGTCAACTTTGTAAGTTCTTAAAACTCTAGAAATAAAACCTGAGCTAATAATGTTCAGGGAGGAATTTTCAGTGTTCTCTGAGAACAACTCAAGGGTTACCTTAGATGAGTTTTAATAATACTTTTAATATGCTTCATTATGTTTCAGTTATTAAAAGAAATGTTTAAAAACGTAATAAAGAAATGGATACATTCGTAGAAGTGGAATTGCCGTATAAAGATTTTTTTTTTTGTTTTTGTTTTTTGAGACAGTCTTGCTCTGTCGCCCAGGCTGGAATGCAGTGGTACGAATCTCGGTTCACTGCAACCTCTGCCACCTGAGTTCCAGCAATTCTCCTGCCTCAGTCTCCCATGTAGCTGGGATTACAGGTGTGCACCACAAGCCTGGCTAATTAATTTTTTGTATTTTTAGTAGAGAAGGGGTTTCATCATGTTGGTCAGGCTAGTCTCGAACTCCTAACCACAAGTGATCCACTTACCTTGGCCTCCCAGAATGCTGGGATTACAGGCGTGAGCCACTGTGTCCAGCCCTATATAGAGATTAGCACATTCTGTATTGCCAATACTCATTCATAATTATGCTCTTTATCATAAAGTATTAGTTTATTGGTACCAGCTTATTGATCATTGATAGTCAATGTATGAATGCTTCTCCGCCTGCTTACCAACACTGGGCATTATGTTTACAAATCAAATCATTGATGAAAAGGCAATTTTTAATTTTTTTAATCAATGAGATTGGATTATGCATGTTTTTGAGTGCCTTGCTTATATCTTTAGTGATACAGTTAATGCTGAATTCTAAAGAGTTGGGGGAGATGGGAAAGGAGTCCATCTCCTTTGGTCTCTCTCTTTCCTCCTCTTGCAGTTATGATGAGTACCAACTGCTGCCTCATGTTTACATTTCGTTTCTAATTTGTGGTTATTAACCTTTGTTCCATGCTAATGCTTAAATCAATAATACTGATTCTCTTTTGAGGCCATTCTCTCCAGGAGAGTCATACCAGCAATTATCAAAGGGCATTAGAGTTTGCAAATGGTCAGAGGATTCCTTGCTCTATGCTGTAGTAAATCCCTTCTTATGGGAAATAATAACTCCTAGAGAACTGTTAGGTCACAGTCTCAGTTTAGAAATAAAACGTGTCTATATGAACGAAGAATTAGAAAAAGCAGTGTGTTAGTTGCAGTGTAATGACATACTTTGTTCTCCATATTGCATCAAGAATATTAGCTTTATTTTTACAAATGACTTCATTTCTAAGAAGTTAATTTTTAAGAATTGTTCACTAGAGTTATAAACTAAGTTTGAAGATGTTACTCTGATTGTTGAAAAATAACAAAGATCATATAGAGGTTATATCTGTACTTGAATTCACGTTACCGTAGACTGGCATATTTTTGCCATGGAATTAAACTTTGAGTGCCTACTATTTGCTAAATAAGTTAATTAAATTTTTGTAATTCAGGCAGAAAAACAAGTAGAAACTGAGGAGGCAGGAGTAGTGACAACAGCAACAGCATCTGTTAATCTAAAAGTGAGTCCTAAAAGAGGACGACCTGCAGGTAGGATTACTGATGTTTAAATATCTGTTTGGCTTGTGATTAATATTCCAGTCCATTTAAAGTGTTGCTGCCTCAAATATTTTGGAATGAAGCGAATAGGCAATTGATTGTGTGTAACATACAGATTTCAAAGGAGATAAACATGATTTGTGCTCTGTTTCAAAGTATTTAAATTTGAAATAAACTTTGCTTTATCTCTGTTGTTTTCCCTAAATAGTGGTAAGAGAGGCTGTGGTGAGGTTAAAATTATCATGAATAATGGGTTTATTTTACCTTTCACTTAAGAGTCATAAGATTTCAAAATGGAGTTATAATCAGAGAGTGAGAAATAGCATTTGATTAAAGCCATTAATATTTTAAATTTTTGCGTTCTCTGTTGATAGGGATTTTGATTTTTACAGTATGCAGCTCTGTAAAAGTATTTTCTTAATTTGGCAAATTGGAAATATTTTGGAAAGATCTTCCTAATACAAAGTAAAAGAAAACCAAAATTGAATTTTTTTCTACTTTTTACTAGGATTCTTACTGAAAATGGGGGGTAAGATGAGTAATACCAAGAAAAGAAAAAAAAATTTTTATTTACATAATATTTTGGAGTTTAATATTGTAGTGGATAAAATAGTGCTAGGAAACTCAGTGAATTCTAATATGAACTTCCAAAGATACGTAACTGCATAAGTAATATTATATATAATATGTATATGAATATTAAATATAAGTGCTGCTTCCTATTTTAAAGTTGAATTTTGTGACATTACTGTCAAAATGATAGAGAAAAATGTTTTAAGCCCTCTCAGTCATAATAAGGTCAAATTGAGGATTACTCAGTTTACCTCTTTATAAATTTTTTGTTGTTGCTCATTTGAATCATGGTGGGGAGGTGTTTTTTAAATTTAGCAATAATTGTATCTAATAAGCTACTCATATTCTTATATAGTATGTATCATTTCTAATATTTATATCAGATTTGTATCTTAACTAGAAACTAGTAGTTACTGATTTTTTTTCCATGTGTGTATTAGCTACAGAAGTCAAGATTCCAAAACCAAGAGGCCGACCCAAAATGGTAAAACAACCCTGTCCTTCAGAGAGTGACATGTGAGTTTATTTTAATGTATAATTAGTTATGCAATAAATGAGACATTTGACTTTAAACAAGCACATATCTCTGCATTTTTATCAGTTTTCTCTTACAGGATGTTTGTTATTTTGATATTTCTTAAAATTACAGAAAAAACTGGAAAAATTTTGTAAAGTAAAAATTGGTAAGGAATGGCTCTTTATCATTTCATTAAGTAAGACTTTTGGGTATATCAATTTATATAGATACTTAGATAAAACAAAGTAAAATACATAATAGAGAAATTGGGCAAGATGTTATGTTTTGGGAATTTTACACAGACTATATTTGAAGCAATGTCAAAAAAACCTTTTTTTTTTTTTAAGATGGGGTTTCACTCTGTCGCCCAGGCTGCAGTGCAGTGGTGCAGTCACACGCTGTAACCTCAAACTCCTGGGCTCAAGGGATCTTCCCACTTTAGCCTCCCAAGTAGCTGGGACCACAGGCATGTGCCACCACACCTGGCTAATTTTTTTTCATGAGACTGGGTTCATCTTTCCCAGGCTGGTCTCAAACGATTCTCCCACCTCATCCTCCCAAAGTGCTGGGATTATAGGTGTGAGCCACTGTGGCTAGCCTACAGATCTTTTTTTTTTGAGACAAGTCTCGCTTTGTCGCCCAGGCTGGAGTGCAGTGGCCGGATCTTGTCTCACTGCAAGCTCTGCCTCCCGGGTTTACGCCATTCTCCTGCCTCAGCCTCCCGCGTAGCTGGGACTACGGGCGCCCGCCACCTCGCCCGGCTAGTTTTTGCTTTTTTGTTTGTTTGTTTGTTTTGTTTGTATTTTTTAGTAGAGACGGGGTTTCACCATGTTAGCCAGGATGGTCTCGATCTCCTGACCTCGTGATCCGCCCGTCTCGGCCTCCCAAAGTGCTGGGATTACAGGTTTGAGCCACCACGCCCGGCCCAGATCTTTTTTTAAATCTCCTCCAGAATAGATGCTTTATTTAAAAGTGGGCTAAAATAATTTTTGTATGTAAATTTAATTTTTAAAGCATTTCAGAATAATTATTCAGTTATCCAGGAAATACGAGTGTTTTTTGGTTTTTTTGCATTTTTCCCTTGCTGCCTTTTCTACTTGGATCCTTTTTACTTTGGCTTTTTTGGGGCATCTTTGCTAGAAGGAATACAGTATATTTAGACAAAGGAGGAGAAAAACTTCTTGTGGCTATTGTGTTTAAAGATTTGAAAGGCTTAAGTGGGGTATGTCTATTAAGCATAGATTTACATTGTTTTGAATGAACTGATTATAGAAGATTCTAATTGTAGAACACTATTAGAGAATTGGTATGTTTCAACCAAAATATATTTAAAGAATTTTACTGCCGGTCTGTATTTACTTTGAAAAATAGTGACACATAACAATATATTGTATACTTGAAAATTACTGAGAGAGTGGACTTTAAGGGTTCTCATCACGAAATAAAAATACGTATGTGAGGTAGGTAGTACATTAAATAGCTTGATTTAGCCATTCCACAATGTATACATAGATTAGAACATTGTGTTGCACACCATAAACACATAGAATTTTTACCTGTCAATTTTTAAAAATAGTGGCAGAAAAAATACAGTATACTTTATTGTAGTGGAATTAAGAAATTGGGTACTTAACAGGTGAGTTTGCAGTCATTATTTCCTTGGAAATCTGAAATTCTGCTGGGAAAATATTGTGAGATCCCTCAATGTTGGATATAATTAGTGTTCCCTGATTAGGTCCCAGTTTTCCCTGGGAGTATGCTTCCCACTCCGTTTGTATTCATGGCTTTTGGCTGATTCCTCTGGAACTTCTCTACTTTTTCAGTATCATCCTTTGTTGCATCTGAAAAGGTCATTGGAAAATACCGCCCTGCTTATCAGCTGAGCAGCTTTCTCAGACCATAGTAATCTGAGGGCCCGGTGTTCCTTTTTAGGAACTTATCCTTCTCTCACTTTCTCTTGATGCAGTCTGGTGTCACTTTTGGTAATATAATACTTTTGTATGTGTGTTTAATTCTGGTCAGCTTCCTATGCAATTATTCGTAAGGCTTTTCTCAGACATGCTCATCTTTATATATTTAATAACAGATACTTTGAGTTTATAGGTTTTTCTGAGAAACCATCCCTCAGGAATCATTTGTCCATCTGAAGGATTAAGGAAGTCCAGTTTTAATTCTTAAGGATTGCAGTTATACCCTTTATTGAGTCTTTGACTCAGGCTATCACCCTGTTCGAAAGTCCTACCTCCTTCCTTGAAAATAGGCTAATCTTTTTGGAACACATCTCTTTCTTGAACACTATCAGATTTATCTTGATGGTCATTTCATGCTGCCAGTATTCCATTTTGAAGCTTCTTCATCCAAAGCCACAAGTTCATTGAATGTATTTTCTTATTTGTGCTACTGTCCAATGGTTTTACCCATTGTATAATAACGTATTAGGGTTTTCAGTCTCCCAGCCCCAAAGCAAGTCACTACATGTTTTAGGTTTTTGGTCCTGGTGTCAGTTTCTCTATTAGTGAGCTTTTTCCTGAGACAGTGGACAACCCTAAAACAGCAGTAGCCTTTACAACATTTATTTCTTATTCATGCTGTACGTAGGCTAAGTGTGAGCTGTAACTACTCTTGGTTGTGTATCTGGGCACATACTCAGTGGAGTGCAGAACTAAACTGTGTTAAGCTCTTTTTAAACTTCTGCTCTTCACCATTAGAACACCATGTATCTCTTAGCGTCTGTTTCTTTGCCATGGGTACTGATGTGACACGACAGTAAAATAGAGCCCAGAAGAGCTAAAAACCAATTCACAATCCTCAGAAATGTTTGTTAAAGCCTACTGAAGTATTTGGGGTTGTGTTTACATTAGTCTTTGCTTATATTAACATATATTAAAATATTAAGAAATTTACAAATACAACTTTGCTAATATCTCTTGAACTACTAAAAAGGGAAATTGTCACAAGTCTGTATTTTATGGAAGAACCACTGGGAAAAGACTCATTGGTAGCAAGCAGTGATAGTCATGTTTATGCAAATTATTTGTTTTGGCACAAAGATTATTTCACACCTTGAAATAGTCTTTTTTATGACCTTAGGATAAATTTTTAAAATAAATCCTTAAAGTCACTTTTTAAAGACATGCTGTATGGTATCCCACTGTATATGTTTTATAGTTCTTAAGATCTATCCTATGTATTGATACACGATTTTAAAAACATTGTCATCTATTCTTTTGTACATAATGCAAATATATTGGTTAGGATACATTGTTAGAAGCAAATTTGCTGGGTCAAATGGTATTTGTATTTTTCATAGCTATTTCCTTCCATACAGGTGTAACATTTTGGGAAAAGTAGTTGGCCAGTATTGTTTAAGAGACAAAGAAATGCCTTTTTAAATGGGACTCTAGTCCCATTTTTAGGAAACTGATTATCAAAAGATATACATCAGTAGATATCCTGAAGAAAGCAAATAGTTTCACTTGCATGCTTTTACTTTCATTTATTAAAAGGATGGTTTTAATCCCAGAGAGGCTAAAGTTAAAAGGATGAAACCCATAGGACCATTAGAAAATAAGCATACCCAATGATAATTATGTAATAAAAAGTTTGTAAAGGGGCAAAAGTAAATTTCTTCTCTTCCAACTTAATAGTTCTTAAGTGGTCAAGGAATCACTTGTCTGGAAAGAGGTTAATGGATTTGGAATTCAGATACTGGGCTTGTTATTTGACCTTTTGCATCATCATTTTCTCATCTGTCAAATGGAAGAGGTTGAACTGAATAAGTCTCTTTGAGCTCTCAAATTCATTGATTTAACTGAATAATTTGAGAAAATCTCAATGAAATTCTTTGGACAGTCAAAAGGTTATAGTTTTTAAACAGCTTATTCAAGCTTTAAGTGTTTATTTATAAAGGAATTGTTTTGGAAGAATATGTATCAACCATAAAAGTAATTACGTGGTTAGTATTTGCATAATTTGATTCTCTTAGAGCCTATTTCTGTAGTACCAACTTGCATAAACATGCAGCAGTAATTAGGATTATTGAGCAGTTTAGGTAGTTTCTCTTGTTTTAGTGGTCTCTGTGAAATTCAGTGGTGATGGGAATACTTAGGTGCTAGTCAGCACAGCACTGTCTGAAAACATGCTTAATTGGCTATGTATTTATCATTACATGTTTAAGTTGCGACCTTTTTACCCTGCAAAGAATATTTGTATGAGTTCTAAAATGACCGTATTTGATTTCACTTCCGCAATTCCAATTCTCCCAGTATGTCTACTTTTTAAACATAGTTTATTCTTAACAAATATGTAGAATTTAAGTTCTATAAGAGCCAGGGATCTGCCCACCTTATATCTTCTAATTTATACCAAAAGGATGTTCTGCGACAGAATTCCTTTTATGATTGGATAGTGAAGACACTCTGTTTTACTTTAGGTTGCCTTTAAATTAAAAATTATAGCTTACTGATACCTAAAATACTGTTCACTTGACTGGGAGAATATAGTTGAATGACAAATATACATTGTTATGTTCTCTGAAATAGCATTACTGAAGAGGAAAAAAGTAAGAAAAAGGGGCAAGAGGAAAAACAACCTAAAAAGCAGCTTAAGAAGGATGAAGAGGGCCAGAAGGAGGAAGATAAGCCAAGAAAAGAGCCAGACAAAAAAGAGGGGAAGAAAGAAGTTGAATCAAAAAGGAAAAATCTAGCTAAAACAGGGGTTACATCAACTTCTGATTCTGAAGAAGAAGGAGATGATCAAGAAGGTGAAAAGGTATAAAGTCTACATATATAAAATGGCTGTTCTAGTCTTAGTTTTTATGTATATTTTTTTCTTTTCTTTTTTTGAGATGGAGTCTCACTGTGTTGCTTAGGCTGGAGCGCAATGGCGCAATCTTGGCTCACTGTAACCTCTGCCTCCTGGATTCAAGTAATTCTCCAGCCTCAGCCTCCTGAGTAGCTAGAAGTACAGGCGTGTGCCACCACTACCGGCTAATTATTGTATTTTTGGTGGAGACGCGGTTTTGCAATCTTGGCCAGGCTGGTCTTGAACTCCTGACCTCAGATGATCCTCCCACCTTGGCCTCCCAAAGTGCCTGGATTACAGGCTCCACACCTGGCCGTTTATGTATTTCTTAATCTTTACCTAGTTAAGGAGCTTTTAATATTTTGGAGGAAGTCTATAAATATCAGTGGCAGTTAAACTGAATTTGTTCACGTTTTTGAATAGACTTGAATTAGCTATGTTACAAAGCATATTTAAAATGTCCCTTTATTGTCTGTTCTCTAAATTTATCTTACTGTTTTACAATTATGATCTGGAAATTAAGTAAACAGTACCTTTCCAATAACCCCATCTGTCTAGAAAAGGTAGATGAAATAGGCTGTGCCCAGTGAAGACACATGTTAAAAGAGGTGGATTTATATACACATTTTTGTTATTTACCCCCAAGAAATTATTATTATTATTTTTTTTGAGACGGAGTCTCACTCTGTTACCCGGGCTGGAGTGCAGTGGGCCGGATCTCAGCTCACTGCAAGCTCCGCCTCCCGGGTTCACGCCATTCTCCTGCCTCAGCCTCCCGAGTAGCTGGGACTACAGGCGCCCGCCACCTCGCCCGGCTAGTTTTTTGTATTTTTTAGTAGAGACGGGGTTTCACCATGTTAGCCAGGATGGTCTCGATCTCCTGACCTCGTGATCCGCCCGTCTCAGCCTCCCAAAGTGCTGGGATTACAGGCTTGAGCCACCACGCCCGGCTACCCCCAAGAAATTCTTAACACTCTTCAGGCCTATTGTACATTTTATCAGTGGTATGTAACTTTATTTGGACGCCATAGTGGTTGGGAATCTTACTAAAGCTGTGTATCCTTTTGTGTAGAAAATAAAATTTTGTGTATAGCCTTAGAGATTTACAGATCCAGGTCATGCAAATCTTTTGTTTGCTTTTAGCTGATTTTTGGCTCATTTCTTAATCTTTTAGAAACCAAAAATTTTAAACTGGATAGGTTATGTAGTGTGCTTGTCACTACTCAAGTTAACTCACTCTGTAGAGAAGCAAACAGAGAGACATACTACATTTTATCCAAAGGACATCACTCCTATAGCCGGGCATAAAACAAGATGATTATTTCACGGTCATTAATCAAAGTTAAACTGGCAGAGATAGGTGTAATTCAAAGACTATCTTTAGGTTGCTAATTTGAGTATTCATCCCTTTTTTAAAAACTAGCTGCTGCTTTTCACAAGGTTGTAATTCCATAAGCACTAGTCACTGACTTTATAGTTAACTGAAACCATCCTAATTCTCAAAACAGAAGAGAAAAGGTGGGAGGAACTTTCAGACTGCTCACCGAAGGAATATGCTGAAAGGCCAACATGAGAAAGAAGCAGCAGATCGAAAACGCAAGCAAGAGGAACAAATGGAAACTGAGCAGTAAGTATTTTTTTTTTCTAAATTTTGGGTTCTTTTTAAAGGCTAGCATGGAATTTTTAAATAATAGACTTTCATTTTCCAGACTTTATGAAGCCTTTTGAAGAAGTGACTTTTCCCATGTGTTAGAAAAATCTTCAGTATATGATGATGATCTTATTTCAGGCTTCATTCTTTTCTGAGAGGATGAAATTGACTCAGGCAGTCACTCTGTAAAGTATTTTTGAATTTAAACAAAGTGCAGATAGGATTTGATAGTGGCTTTGCAATAAGTGTACTCATCCTCTACTATTTGTTTGTATGATATAATACATATAGAAGGAGGGTTGATAATATACTGGTGGAGAAAGAATGCAGGAAATACCCTTATTCACCACACCACCAAGCAGGCCTCACCCTAAAGACCAGCAAAAGTAACAAAAGCACATTTGGAAACCCAGGAAGCCAGTAAAAGCAAATCTGAAGGCTGACAGGGTGTACATTATTATATATGTGCAATATAAATCAAATTCAAAGCTGTTTTCCCTTAAATTTTGATAGAGACCATACTTGCCATGGGGAATTTCTTTCCCCTTATTATTTTATTACTAGAAGGAAAAGTAATAGCAATGATAATAAACAGACTTCGTGTCTTTATTACATTTGCTTTCCTAGTTACCTTTAGACTGTCACTTCTGAGTTCTTTCTCTGACATGCTTTTCTTTCCTTGTGAAGCGTCTTACATTCTGACTAAACTTTGTTTTTTTGTTGTTGTTGTTTTAGTGAGGTGATTTTTAAAACATGCTCTAGGTCAATAAGACAAAGTTAATCATGAGCAGTGAAACGATTCTTGGAATAATTTTGTACTCTTTTTCTTTATATAATATATCCGTAAGCCAAAGTCTTTCTTGACAAGTACAGTGTTTTACTCTGCTTTCTTAGTTTGGAGGATATACAAGTAGTTTTAGCTCCTTGAGGGAGTAATTTAAATAACTTATCTAAAGCTCAAAAATATTATTCCCTCTAATCTGTTAGACTTTAAGCACTTCTGTAAATATTTAAGTTATTCTTTGTCACCTATCATTTTCTATTCTATCTTTTCACTGAAAAGCTGTTGGACTGTTTGTTGCTTTTGACTTTATTGTGCTCCCAAAATTAAGATATAAAATTAGTTGTTATTAGTATATGTAGCCCAACCCTTCTTTAGTATCTTAAAGTTAACTTTATGTATTTCAGTTTCTTTTGAATGTCCTCCAATGTAACTTTCTCAAATTCTAATATTTGTGTTTTCTTTCCTTCTCCTGTTATTACAAAACTTTGTACTTGGACAGTTTTGCTCTGTAAAGCATTTCAGATGCAGCTTGTGTGAAATGCATTATGCAAAATAAAGTTTATTGTATTGTATTCCCAGCCAAACAACATGTAATCTACAGTAATAAAAAATATATCTCATTTTGGGCTCAAAGCATTAATCCAGTTACTGAAAAGAGAATACAAGTGGAGCAAACAAGAGATGAAGATCTTGAGACAGACTCATTGGACTGAATTTCCCCCTTCCCCCCATTGATGGAAGAATGTTCCAGATTCTAAATTGAGGACTTCATTATTAATGGCATTACTGTGTTATGATTGTTAACAAATTTCATGTAAGGTACACACTACATACTAAGGTCGGCCATCATTCCTGTTTTTTTTTTTTTAACCAAGCTTAAAATGAAGCTTTGTGTTTGAAAGTAATAAGCTCAGACGAAGATGGTGGTTGTACATTATTCATTTAGAAAATATAAAAATTCATTTTGTTTTGAAGCTAGTTATTAAACTGGAATAGCAGTTATACCCCCTGAGAATGGGGCCCTTCCCTTGACATTCCTTTGTTGTTTAATTCTTTAGAATCTTAATAAATGTTTTTTTAATCCTGAGAGATTAAACAGTAGTAGACTTGTTAAGAAAAAAATGAAACTGTAACCAAAATTTTAAAATAAAGTTTTTTTAAAAAAAAAACCTGATTTTTAGATATTTTTTGTTCTTGTCTATTTGAATTGGTTCATAATATGGCCTGAACTCTTAAGCTAAGATACTAGAAATTAAGATTTTAATTTTAAGTGGTGATTTTTGTGATTGACAATAAAATGGTACCTTTTAATTTGTGAAATGTTAGTGAATGTTACTGGATGTCATTCAAGTTTGATATATTGGCCAAAATAAAAAAAAAAAATGGTATCTTACGTCTATTTAACGTTAAAGCTAACTTCAAAACTCATTTATCTACGTGTTATGTGCACAATTAAATTGGTCTATTTTAACATGCGGCTTTTAAAAAGAATTGATGTAGAAGCCATTAAATATTTATAGGTATTATCTTCCCATTGTGGCCTATTTGTCCAGTGACCCTGAAATTGTTCTTCTAGCAACACACTATGATGTCACTGAAAAGTTAGATATGATTTAATTTAGCATGTTAATTTGAGTTTTGCTTATATTTATGCTATGGAACTGCACCATTCAATTCCTACAGTCAATTCCTTTGCAGTCTAGGTTATTGACTTGTTTTAAGGAAAACATTTTTAGTTTTTGCATAGGGATTGTGGGCATTTAGTAATCAGTCACAAAGTTCCAATGTTTTGAAATATTTGTGTTAACATTTGATAGGCAGAATAAAGATGAAGTAAAGAAGCCAGAAGTTAAGAAAGTGGAGAAGAAGCGAGGTTAGTTATTTCACTTTCTAAGATACATAAAATTATACATGGAAAGGAAGTTACATAGACATAACTTTTTGTGTATTGGTTTTGGAATCATTTCATACTCATATCCTACAAATATACTTTTTCAAATCCCTAATGGGCTTTATATAAATTGCATTGTATTTTAAGCATAATCAAGTGAACTTAAGTTGTCTTTGTTTAATGCTCCTTAATTATTTGACAGTGTCAAATTTTAGTACACTTGCTGAAAGCTGGATGCTTTCCCATTTCAGACAAATCCCTTGGTTAAACATAAGGAAAAGCCGGTGTTTAGGGACTGGAGAGCAGAGGAGTTATCATATGCAGACTATTCATTGTAGAAAAAACGCAGCCAGGTGGTGGTTTTGTGCTTTTACACTGCATGTTGTTTTCTGCATCCAGACGCTAAAAATGGCAATAAGTACTTATTCTTAGTTAAGCTATTGTGTGTATCTGTGAGCTTCTTAGTAAAGATCACTGAGAATTTTTTTTTTTTTTGAGTCCACTAATTCATTATACTTAGCCTGTATACAGAAATACTGGTTTTGGAAAAACTGTTCACTGTTTTTCACATATTTTAATTTATAGAAACATCAATGGATTCTCGACTTCAAAGGATACATGCTGAGATTAAAAATTCCCTCAAAATTGATAATCTTGTAAGTGTTTAACTTCATTTAAAACTACAGTACTGCATTTATAGCTTCATCTTTGATTTTCTCACATGATCTTATGAGTATGTAAATTTAAGATAAGGGATAAATTACTGGTCATTTTGCACTACCTTATTTTTTTTAAGTGATCTTTAGAAACAGATTATAAGTATTCTGATAATTAACAGCTATGAAATTACTGTTTTGTCATGAAGGATGTGAACCGATGCATTGAGGCCTTGGATGAACTTGCCTCACTTCAGGTCACAATGCAACAAGCTCAGAAACACACAGAGATGATCACTACACTGAAAAAAGTAAGTGATTTCAAGTCATGTAGATTCTTTGAATTTTGTCATTACTTCATTTAAAAATTATTTAAATCAATTAGGCAAACAATTATGATGAATGTATATTGTTTTCTCAGATACGACGATTCAAAGTTAGTCAGGTTATCATGGAAAAGTCTACAATGTTGTATAACAAGTTTAAGAACATGTTTTTGGTTGGTGAAGGAGATTCCGTGATCACACAAGTGCTGAATAAATCTCTTGCTGAACAAAGACAGCATGAGGAAGCGAATAAAACCAAAGATCAAGGGAAGAAAGGGCCAAACAAAAAGCTAGAAAAGGAACAAACAGGTATGTGATAAAAAGCCAACAATTTCACGCCAGTTTTTTGAACCATTTGCCAGGACTGCTCTTAAAAATGGCTTTGATGCATAGTTTCAGTGTTAACACCACAGAAAAAGTATACATAGGCAAAATGGTGAAAATGTGATGGGCTTATTGAAGGACTAGAGCAGTGTGCATTCAGAACAAAAAAGTCATGTCAGTTTCTATTAGACTTCTAAGGCAGAAACCATTGTTCATGAGGCAGATGACTCTGGATAAACATTTTTAAAAAGCCATCCATCACAATGCCTCCTCATCCCTAGAGGACCCACTTCCTGGTTGCTCAACTGCTTCTGATGTTTTCTTCTCACCTAAGAGTAAAATAGCATACAGTAGCCTTTTAAAACACAGCATCATAGGTGGAGACTACACCTGCCATTACTTGTTGCTGTTGACAGGCTAATACAAGTATTCTGATGATGATGCTGAGTTACCCTGAACAGACTGTATTTTCACTGTATTAATGCCATGTCATATTTTTTACTATAAAGTACTTATGTGTGAATAAAGACAATGATTTCTCATTGGTAGCATATAAATTTAGTCAACAATGATGGAGATGCCAAGCAACCACCGATTGTCCATATGGGTCGCTAAGATACACCTTTGCTTTCTAATGGTTTTAAATGTACACAAACTTTCATATATAAAATTAAGATTGTGTGAAATTACCTTTAGGCTGTGTTTATAGGTGTGTACAAAACATAAACTAATTTCATGTTTAGAGTTGGGTCCCATCTGCAAGTTAAACTTACGTATATTCAAATATTTCCAAAACAATTCTGTACCTTACCTACATTAAATGAGAAAGTATTTTTGTTTTTTTTTTTTAAAGATGGAGTTTTACTCTTGTTGCCCAGGCTGGAGTGCAGTGGTGTGATCTCGGCTCACCAAAACCTCTGCCTCTTGGGTTCAAACGATTCTCCTGCCTCAACCTCCAGAGTAGCTGGGACTACAAAAATGTGCCACCACACCCTAGCTAATTTTGTATTTTTACAAATTTACATGGAAAAATTACAGATTTCTCCATGTTGGTCAGGCTGGTCTTGAACTCCCGACCTTGGGTAATCCACCTGCCCCGGCCTCCCAAAGTGCTGGGATTATAGGCATGAACCACCGCACCCAGTGAGAAAGTCTTATAAAGCACTTAGATGTGTAGTATATATGTAAAGCACTCAACCCTAGCTTCTTTTTTACTAACTTTTAGTAGTAGTTAAATCCTGCTAGTATTTTTTACTAACAGTAGTTATTTTCATTTGTATTAGTAAAAATTTATAACATACACAAATAGAAATAACTTCCCATATCCCTGTCATCCAGCTTTGGTAGTTCAGTTTATGATCATTGTGCTTTTGTAGCCCAAAAGCTTTCTCTGTGCCCCTCTTAAAAGTTGTTTTATGACAAATCCCAGACATATCATTTCACTCATCAACGTTTCAGAATGTATGAAATACTCTTAAAACAGAATCATAGTACCATTATCAGCTCTTCCAGTCTTGTTACTAAACATCTTGGTGGCAGCTGCTTAAGTTCTACTGGCATTTCAAAAGCGGTTGTTTTTTTTTTGTTGTTGTTTTTTTGTTGCTTTTTTGGGGAATGATATGGGTCCCCTTAGAGAATTATTAATATGACTTACAGGAAAACCCCCCTTATTTATTAGGCACAAAAATATCAATTAGGAGATACTTCTTTAGCACTTTGTTCTAAAATAATGAATTTTAAAATTTGATTCACATTGCTTTTTCTTAGTAGTAAAATAAATCAATATGCTAAGAATTGTAACACCCTGTAGTCTTCCTGGTAATAGTAACCACCAGAATAACCAGATTAGTAATCCACTTCCTGTACCATAGATACAGTTAAACTGCTTTTTATGGTACCTTAGCTACCCAAAGCCTCCGGTGGTGATCCGCTCCCCTCTTTTTGATAAAGCATCAAAACCCAATTCTAACATTCAAGAGAGGGCTGTATTACAATGTAATTTCAAATAAAAGAAACTAAGTAGTAGAAACACGAGGGCCATGTTGTATTTTGATTTTGGAACTTTTTAGTAGACACCTTCACTTACTATTTTGTAAGCTTTTAACAAAGTTTTTCCATTGGATTCCTTCTCAAGGGTCAAAGACTCTAAATGGAGGATCCGATGCTCAAGACGGTAATCAACCACAACATAACGGGGAGAGCAATGAAGAGAGCAAAGACAACCATGAAGCCAGCACAAAGAAAAAGTGAGGAATAGGTTTTAATGGGTCTTGTGTGTTTTTTTATTCAAGTTTTTAATCACAGTTCTGTTCCAAGGTTATTTTAGTATAAGCAATTATCTTTTGATCACCCAATTCCTGAATTCAGTAAGCAAGTTACAATTCAAAAAGGCAGAAGAGTAAAAACCTTTTATTGACAATGACTTTGCCACTGAATTCAAGGGAATGGAGCTCGCTGGGAATGCAGTTAAAAAGAAAATATTTGCTCCTGGACTTCTTTTACTGAGATACTGTTAGTAATGACTTGCATTCACACTTTTGTGAATTGTGAGGATAATTGTAAACAGTTAGATGGAGAATCACAGGCTATTTTTTTTTCTTTTTTTGAGACAGAGTTTCTCTCTTGTTGCCCAGGCTGGAGTGCAATGGCATGATCTTGCTCACTGCAACCTTCACTTCCTGGGTTCAAGTGATTCTCCTGCCTCAGCCTCCCCAGTAGCTGGGATTACAGGCACTTGCCACCACACCCATCTAATTTTTGTATTTTTAGTAGACAGGAGGTTTCACCATGTTGGCCAGCCTGACCTCAAACTCCTGACCTCAGGTGATCCACCCACCTCGGCCTCCCACAGTGCTGGGATTACAGGTATGAGCCAACACACCCGGCCATCACAGGCTGTTTTTTAATACCCACCCTAAAATAGACTATGGAGCCATAGTTGAAGTCTTGGTTTGTTCCATTGTGTATTTGAAGGACTTTGAAGCATCCCTTCTAATTCTGAAATTGAGGGAAATCTTGTTGTCTATGTGTGTATCAACCTCACTTTTTGTTAAGATTTTGAAATGTGTTGGTATCACAGATACAAAACATGCTCATGTTCTTTAATAATCACTTTTAAGCTAGAAATGATGGAAAAGGCTTGGTCTGTGACACTTTCCTGAGTTTTTTTGCTTCATCTGCATATTACTTTGGGACGAAGATGTAACAGTTTTGAAGAAGAAAAAAATAATGACTGTTCTAATAAGTCAAGTTTATTTTTGGTTTGATTTCAGTCTTTTCATGAGTTTAAAAATATAATGCAGACTTAATGTCTTTTTTTCTTCATTAGGAGAAAATCCTAATTCCAGTTATTGTACCTTTCTTTCCCCCTTTTCTTCAGGCCATCCAGTGAAGAGAGAGAGACTGAAATATCTCTGAAGGATTCTACACTAGATAACTAGGTTGACATACCGGGAATATAGAGAACACTTGAGAAGTTTGTAATGGCTTTCATTTAAATAGACTGCTGAAAGTTTTAAATTTTTATAAGCATAGGTTTGATGTTGAAAATTTGTTACGGGGGAGAAGATCCCTTTATCTTTGTTTTAAAGTAAACATTATCGCTAAGTATACTTGTGCAGTATTAACAGCTACATTATGCAGTAAATGTGGGATAAAATCCATTTAGAAAATGTTAAACTGCTTTTCCAGACATGGTTGTAGCATATTTTCAATTAGTGTGTGTATGTTAATGTGTAATTGATAGTAGAACAAAGTTACATTTTTAAAACTGCTACTTGTATAAACCTTGCCTCTTTCCCCAAATACCGTGGGTTTTGTGCATAGTTTTTACAAACCTTGGATTTACCAGACTGTCTTTTCACTGTTTGTGGGTTTTGTAGAAGTTGAGCATTTTTATGGTAGATAAAATGTTACTTCTATACAAGTACTCACTCCCTTTTTATCAAAAGTCTGTATGGTTTGTTTTGGTATGACAACTAGTTAAGTAACTGACATTGAACTGACTGAGAAATCTACAAACTATAAAACATGATGTTAATTTTTGAAGGTAATTTAGTTTTGTGGCTGAACATTCAGTGAAGTCTTAGGACTTCTCTGCAGATAACTGACTGGCTATATATAGGAATGAATCTGGCTTTAGGGTTAAATCATTTAAGGTCCTTTTATAGGCAGGCACTAGTAATTAAAACTGAAAACTAAGTAAGTTTATTTTTGAGAAATGTTAAAGATGTCTTCAGGAAATCACTAAGTAGTACTTAATTGGAAGAAAAAATCATGATGCTTAGACAATAAATATAAATAAATGCTATATAAGGAAACTCACCTATTTGAAATTATGGCTATATTATTTTTATTTTCTAGATTCCAAAAATACAAACACTAGTTCTTCCAACATAGTACTTTGATAGTCTGTACATTGACGTGTATGGACTAAATCCAGGGTGAAATCAATGTTACAAAATTTAAGGGTATGTTATCTAAATGATAGCATTTCTAAGATATTTTGAATATTAGGTCATTTGGCATTTTTCAGTAAGTAGGATACTTCTCATGTTTTGAAATTACATGAATATGGAAAAAAATGGCTTAAGACCAGTGTCTGTGTATGACATTGTATGGTTGACTCTCTGGGATAACTGTTTTCATCTACAGAATTGAAGTTTTGCTTTTATGAGGTCTTATAGTGGAACTAGGAATCACTGTTTTGAGAGAACCTGCATATATACCAGTCATCTGTTTGATCCTTATACAGTTTTAACTTAGATTTATTCTAGTTAAGCCATAAGTTCAACGTGTAAACTTGTTTTGATTAAAGAATTTTTCTACCAAACTCTACTAGTAAATTACTTTCTTCCTATTTACAAGAGTAAGTGATGAAATTCTGGGTTTGCTGCCAAGGAAATAATTTCTTAGTTAGTTAACTGGTCACAGAGTTTGTGTTGTTTTGGGAAACAGGGTTAACTAAACAGTGAGCTCAAGATGATAAAAATAAAGGAAATATTTATCTTTTGTTCACCCTCCCTTTCTTCCCATAACCCACTAGATCTATAGTTTTACAAAGAAGCCACAGAATATTCAACTTCTAGAGATACAGCATCATTCTCATAATTTATGTCAGCTTGTACAAGCTGACCTTGCTCTAACTAGTTGATGTTCGCTTCAAGCATAACTGCCTTTTAATTGTAACTCTCAAGAAATTTGCTTTGTCATAGGCTGATTTACAGATAACTATCATTCTCAGAACTCTTGATAATTATTCATAAGACTTAAGAACTTTCAGAATCATTGAAATTGTTCATTGGCTCAATTGGTGTGTGTGGTCAAAACTCCACAGCTTGACAAGGCACCAAGAGGTAATTTTGAGATAGCCCCCACCCTGCCCCACAAAAAGTATGTGTAATATGTATGTTTTAACACCTCTTTTGGGCTGGTGTGTGTGTACGTATGTGTTTTGATTACTGGGTAAAAGAGTCATACATCAGGCGGGCGCAGTGGCACGTGCCTGTAATCCCAGCTACTCGGGAGGCTGAGGCAGGAGAATTGCTTGAACCTGGGAGGCAGAAGTTGCAGTGAGCTGAGATTGCCCCACTGCACTCCAGCCTGGGAGACAGAGCGAGACTCCGTCTCAAAAAAAAAAAGTCATACATGACTGAGCAGAACTATTGAAGGTTTTCTTGGCTACTTGGAGAAATCGCAGATACATCCATCTGGATTTGGTATGTGAACAACTGGAGAGAACCATGCACTTTAATATTATATCCGGTGATTTCAAATAATATGATAGATTTTGCTGATACAGTACTGCTGTCTATGTTCCTACTCACATACACTTACCTGGTTACAGATGTCAGGTCAAGATGAGGTCTGCATCTAATCCTGTATAAGAGCAAAGATTTTTCATAGGGTGCTGTGAGGGCTTCGCTAACTTTATTTTGTCCGATTGGCCAGAGAAAGGATGCTCTAATGGAAATAGCAAACCCGTATCATTAAACTCTAGAAACAAAGAAGCTGGTTTAATAGGCAGAAGTGTGTGTGTTTGGGCTGTGTAATTCTGCAACACAATGTTAGAGATGACCTTTCTCCTAGTAAAATTAAAATGTCTAATTATCCTTAAACGGTACTGAGGCCTGAAGAACGTTTAAATAAATAGCTATTGCTTCTCTGGTGACTTCTGTGCATGTGCATCCACTATTATATAAAAGTCAAATTCAACTACCAAGCACGTTGATTGACATGTTCATGACAACATTTTCACATTTGCCTATCTTCATTAGATAATGTGTTACATGTAATTTGACAGGTGTGTTGTTTTGATTGAAATAAGCATAAAGAAAAGCTGTCTCGAAAAAAGAGAAAAGCTGTCTTAAATCAGGGGTTTTATAGCTCCAGAAATATACAAAGTTAGAAATTTCTTTTGACTTGAACTTGGTTGGATACCTGTATAACTGATACATAACACATGGGCAAACTGGGAGTAACCTGGTTAACTTTTCTCCTCAGTTTCACCAGGAAACAATAATAGGTACCTGAGTCTTTGATGAAAAGATTAACCTTAAGAACTAGCAGAAAAACATTCTCAAATAATAGAATGCCAGTAGCAGAAATGTTTTAACTGTCATGTTTCTTCTTTGTCCACTAAAATAAATTGACACCACACACGGAATAATGCATTATGACAGTACTTAACTTTTTGAAGTTTGAGAGTATGAAATGAAAATGAATAAAATATCCTTGCATATGCATGTAAGACCTATAAGGAATGCAGTATTACAAATAAAGGAATCAAAATTTTTACCCATGAAATTTTAGGGTTGGGTAAATCATTTATCTTAAATCTATGGTTTGCTGGCTGTTATCAATCTGCTCAATTTTAGCATTGTTGTATACAAGAAAGTAAAAATTTAGGTATAACATAAGCCAGCCTCTGAGTTCTCTATACTGATTATCTGCATACTGACTGAATCAGTGAATGAGAACACTAGACATACCAGAAGCACGTGCTTGTCCTCTCCAAGCCAACGGACTTAACTTTGTGGCATTTAAGTCCATAAAACATACTTCACTGTCAATCTTTTAAACACATAGGCTTATAGGTTTCGTCAGTTTTCCATTTATATAAATGTCTGTTCTTAGCCATCCATTTTTCAGTCAAATTTAAATACAACCTAGGAGAGAAAAAGTGGAATTTATTTATTTTAAATGATGCATTTGAAATCTATAGTATTCCTAAACGTTTTTAAACAGTATTAAATTTTCTACCCATAAAGGTTTCCAGAAAATATTTCAATGTAGATAGTTATAAATCTATCTGATGGTCTAAACCTGAAAATAAATAGTTTCTTTTGCTGGGTGCTATGGCTCATGCCTGTAATCCCAGCACTCTGGGAGGCCTAGGCGGGTGGATCACTTGAGGTCAGGAGTTCGAGACTATCCTGGGCAACATAGTGAAACCCTGCCTCTACAAGAAATAAAAAAAATTAGCCCGCCATGGTGGCCTGTGGCCTGTGCCTGTGGTCTCAGCTATTTGGGAGGCTGAGGTAGGAGGATCACCTGAGCCTGGGAAGGTCAGGGCTCCAGTGAGCCAAGATCACACCACTGTACTACAGTCTGGGTGACAGAGTAAGACCCTGTATCAAAAAACAAGTTTAAAAATTTTTTTTTTCTCAGAATAAGATGAGAGTAACTAGGATTACTATAGTAAGGGGACCAGAAATATGGAAGACCTGGGAGAGAAAAACTTATTTTTTTCTTTTTGCTTATAGAATACTGGTATATATCCAATAGTATCATTACCCAAGAATAAGTGAGCCAGAACTAGCATATCAATAGGATCTTGATTTCTCCATGTCTCCACAGTCATACGAAATCTATTGTTTTTTAAATCATAGTATTAAATTGACATATTTTAAACTCATAGCATTCATAAAGCTTTTGTCAAGAAATAAAGCTTCAAGCTAATGTTATTTCTGGAGTTGTGAGTATACACTCAATATCTTTTTAAATCCATTATTCACAAAGTCTTATTAACATGTCTTGTATGCCTAGTTTCCTTCAAAACAAAACCTAACATTACTCAACAGCACACGAACATTAAATTACCCCAAAGCAGCCGGGCACGGTGGCTCATGCCTGTAATCCCAGCACTTTGGGAGGCTGAGGCGGGTGGATTGCCTGAGGTTAGGAGTTTGAGACCAGCGTGGCCAACATGGTGAAACCCCGTCTCTACTAAAAATACAAAAATTAGCCAGGCATGGTGCCAGGTGCCTGTAATCCCAGCTACTCGGGAGGCTGTGGCAGGAGAATCACCTGAACCTGGGAGGCGGAGGTTGCAGTGAGCCGCGATTGCGCCGTTGTACTCCAGCCTGGGCAACAAAAGCGAGACTTTGTCTCAAAAACAAAAATAAATTATCCCAAAGCTATTAATTTTGTCTTATTTGTAAATAATTCATTCTCCCTAATTTCCGTTACAGATATTTGAAGGATCTTTACCTTGGAAGCCTCATGGTAGAAGGTGTAGCTCTCACATTCTTCAAAGCATTTTCAAAACTACTTGATGTATCATTAATTCTATCTTTAGCAAAAAAACACTCTGGACAGAGAATGAATAGGGAAGGCATGGATTGGGAGAAAGAATATGTGTGTCTGACAAAGGATTTAAAGTCAGAATATATAAAGTACTACAACTCAATGGGTAAAAAGCACTAAATTAAATACTCTTTGGAATAAATATGAAATTTAACTATGTTATAAACATTTAAATACAATCATTATAAGAAAATCTGTGACTTGGAATTTTTTTTGGTCGCTTTAGCAGACTGTTCAAAGTGGATCCTGCTCCTCAGTGGCGTTTCTTAGAAAAAAGGTAACCATCCAAGAGAACAGTTATTTCATAAGGGGGTACTTTTGTGAGTGTAGCTATTCTTAATTAAAGGTTCCAGGATCAACATAAGGATAAGCAAGGAATTCCCCCAGTTTGTTGCCTTCTGAATCATAGTGGAGCATTCGGAAGCAAACATCACAAAAGAAACATGGGTCCTCTGGTGCAAAACTGTCATTGTTCGTCACCCATCTGTAGTTTTTAAAAAAAGAAGTACATCATTACAATCAAATTTTCCATACCTTAACATGCTTTAAGTTATGACCTGTAGCAATATGTAAACATAACATTCTCACTATTTCCTTATCAGTCTGTTATTAATGCATAATCTTTAATTTTGTATACATAGATGCAAATACCACCAATACTCTCTACAAAGCCAAAAGGTCATTTAATATTAAGAAACACTGCAGAATGCTGTTTCTCTGTAATAGTTACCCTTAAAGGAAGAATATAAATCTACTTGAAAGCATCACACATTTGCCATGACATACCTATCCTCCAAGTATGAATATAGTCATTTTCTTCTAACAGACCATCTTGAAAAACTGTAACAAAATTAGATGCTACAGCTCTGATACACTTTTGCTTAATATACCTTCTTAACTGATAAATGAGTACTGGTTAATTTGAAAACTTAAGTAACTCTATTTACCTATAACTCAAGATTATGTTATAAAGTATATACAAATGGCAATATGGGCAACATTATTCAACCAAAATGTTGAATGGCATGAAGATGCTATTGTATGGTATGTTTGAATTATGCATCTCATGGAATATTTGCTTTTAACATTATTTTCCCTTTTATCTGATTTATCATGTTTTCCTGTTGATCTTTTAGAAAAGAATATTGTGGGGTGGCGAAAACAAACTGAAGATACAAGCTGAGTATCCTTTATCTGGGCTGGGTGCGGCGGCTCACGCCTGTGATCCCAGCACTTTGGGAGGCCAAGGTGGGTGGATCACAAGGTCAGGAGTTTGAGACCAACCTAGCCAACATGGCGAAACCCCATCTCTACTAAAAATACAAAAAAAAATTAGCTGGGTGTGGTGGTGTGCGCCTGTAATCCCAGCTACTCAGGAGGCTGAGGCAGGAGAATTGCTTGAACCCGGGAGGCAGAAGTTGCAGTAAGCCGAGATTGTGCCACTGCACTCTAGCCCAAGGGACAGAACAATACTCCATCTCAAAAAAAAAAGAGTATCTTTTATCTGAAATGCTTGGAACCAGAAAGAAGTATTTCAAATTGCAGATTTTTAAATATATTATGCATATATTTGCCGGCTGAGCATTCCACTGAGAATGTGAAATCCAAAATGCTCCACTGATCATTTCAGCATCAGATGTTGCCACTCAAAAACTTTCAAGTTTTGGATTTCTGATTCTTGAAATTTGAAATGCTCAACCTATACTAAATTTCCTGTCCTCTGAGTGGCTTTCAGATTTTTTTTTATAGTTATTGCTGTGTTGTCCAGGCTGGTCTCCAGGCCTCAAGTGATCCTCCCACCTCAACCTCCAAAAGCAACAAACTTTTTTTTTCACTGACCCACAGTAAGAAATGCTTTATAATCTAAACATGCAGAATCACATGAAATAAAAATTTTATAAAACTATATTTTAACTTCATGTGATGTGCTGTGGTATTTTTTTAATTGATGAAGTTTTATTGATGAAGCTGATTATGTAAACTGTGTGTACAAGAGGCAAAAAGAACATGGTTCCCCAAGCATTTTGGATTAAACAAGGTTTTCTTTCCTTAGACTTCCCAAATCCCTTTATGGTAATGTACACTGTGACCCTCTAACAGGGAGTTACTGTACAGAGCTTTTCTTGAATGTATTCTATCAAAGAATCCTTGCTTTCTTAACACTATTAACTTTTATTTTTATTCACCTAGCTGTATACATTTTACAAGCCTGAAATTTGACCTACCCCGGACTTGTGTACATATAATATTTCCTTACTATTTAAGAATGTCAGTTTTAACTCACTAAACTAGTTTTGTGGCACTTCCCTACTACATGATACTTCATATTTATAACCTAAAGTACAAATATTCTTAGATCCAAAGTGGAAAACAAATACCAAAAGTCAAAACTACCATTTCTCAGAGAAAAAAAAATACATTATCACTCACCTAGCTGTATACATTTTACAAACAAAACATTTTCTGGTCCATAGCCAATGCTTCTTGATAAGGAGGGGATACAGTGTCCTATCCAAGCAGTCATCATGATGCACAAGCCTTTTGTTCATGGGAAAATAAAGATATTAAGGTGATAAATATTAAGTGACAAATTTTTATGAGCTATTAAATAAATCTGTACCTGAGTATTAGGAAAATAGATACTTTCAATTTTTGCTTACAAGATGTTGCTAAATTACTTGTTATACCATGTTTGACCAAACTGTGTTCCACAAAATACTTTCTCCAAGAGCATTTTGGATTAAACAAGGTTTTCTTTCCTTAGACTTCTCAAATCCGTTTACGGTAATGTACACTGTGACCCCCGCTAAGGGGGTCATCATATAGAGCATTTCTTGAATGTATTCTACCAGAGAATCCTTGCTTTGCTTAACACTAGTACCTTTTATTTTTATTTATTTGAAATGGGGTCTTACTCTGTTACCCAGGCTGGAGTACGGTGGCATGATCTTGGCTCACTGTAGCCTCCTCAAACTCCTGTGCTCAAGCAGTCCTCCCACCTCAGCCTCTCCAGTAGTTGGGACTACAGGCATGCACCACCACACCTAGATAATTTTTAAAATTTTTGTAGAGACAGGGTCTTACTATGTTGTCCAGGCTGGTCTCAAACTCCTGGCCTCAAGCAATCCTCCCACCTCAGCCTCCCGAGGTGCTGGGATTACAGGTGTGAGCCACCACACCTGGCTAACATTTAGTACCATATAATGAAACAATTTGGGCAAAGCTACTCAGTAATATTTTACCTAGATTAACTGGTTGTTAGAATGTGGCTCTTGTTTTTTTAATGTCTCCTTTATTAAAATCTAATTCTGACTCATGGCATAATATGAATTGGTAGAATCTTAGTTTTAAGTGTCAGAATTATGAAACCTTTAAGAAGTTTCATAACTTTTATTAAAAAAAAAAATTGAAGTCAGTCTCTACTCTGCCACTAATCAGCTCCACGGCTTTGGGTAAATCCTGTAAATCATGACAGACTTCAGATTATTCTGAAAGATGAAAGGACTACACAAAATTGTTCTAAAGGTCTCTAACAATTCTAAAATACCACTTTTTTAAAATTAAAACTTTCACCATCAGAAAATAATTAACCTTTTGATAGCTGGTATTATGGAATGGCACTGAATGATTAAATCCACCTGTAAGATAAAAATGACTTCTATAAATTGCCTTTTAAAAAGCCCTACATTGCATACTCTTAATAAATGTAAACTTTTTTAAAAAAACAAAAGGGCAGATGTGGTGGCTCACACCTGCAATCCCAGCACTTTGGGAGGCCAAGGCAGGAGGATCGCTTGAGCTCAGGAGTTAAAGACCAGCCTGGGAAACAGAGTGAGACCCTGTCTCTACAAAACATAAAAAAATTGGCCACGCATGGTGGCACATGCCTATAATCTCAGCTATGGGAAAGACTGAGGGAAGAGGACTGCTTGAGCCCAGGAGGCCGAGGCTGCATTGAGACATGATTTTGCCACTGCACTCCAGCCTGAGCAATAGAGTGACACCCCCTTCTCAAGAAAAAAAAAAGTGTAAATTGCTTTTTCTTTGACATTCAAACAGATCATGTTTCTTTTGTTGATCATTGTATCAAGAAGTTACCATGAGTTTAAGGGTCATGTTTTTATCCTTCAGCCTTGGAATCACATTGTTTATAGAAACAGGCCTACACTATAAGAAATGTACGGAAAAGGCCAGGCGCGGTGGCTCATGCCTGTAATCCCAGCACTTTGGGAGGCTGACGTGGGCAGATCACCTGAGGTCAGGAGTTCGACACCAGCCTGGCCAACATGGTGAAACCCCTTCTCTACTAAAAATACAAAAATTAGGCCGGGCGTGGTGGCTCACACCTGTAATCCCAGCACTTTGGGAGGCTGAGGCGGGCAGATCACCTGAAGTCGGGAGTTCAAGACCAGCCTGACCAACAGATAGAGTAGAAACCCCATCTCTACTAAAAATACAAAATTAGCTGGGCATGGTGGCACATGCCTGTAATCCCAGCTACTCAGGAGGCTGAGGCAGAAGAATCGCCTGAACCCGGGAGGCAAAGGTTGCGGTAAGCCGAGATCCTGCCACTGCACTCCAGCCTGGGCAACAAGAGCAAAACTCAGTCTCAAAAAAAATAAATAAATAATACAAAAATTTGTCGGACAAGGTGGCACGCACCTGTAATCCCAGCTACTTGGGAGGCCGATGCACGAGAATTGCTTGAGCCCAGGAGATGGAGGTTGCAGTGAACTGAGATCATGCCACTGCATTCCAGCCTGGGCAAAAGAGCGAAACTCTGTCTCAAAGAAAAGAAAAGAAAAGAAAAGAAATGTATGGAAAATAAAGCCATCAGAGAGAACTGGGGGTTGCCTTCCATCTTATGTTTATTACAAGGCTAGCATATTTTACCACATTTGAAAGGAAGAGCAGGCAGAACAGCTTATATAATTTTTTTTTTTCTTTTGATACAGTCTTGCTCTGTCGCCCAGGCTGGAGTGCAATCTTGGCTCACTGCAACCTTCGCTTCCCGGATTCAAGTGATTCTCGTGCCTCACTCTCCCAAGTAGCTGGGACTACAAACGTCCATCACCACACCCAGCTAATTTTTGTAGTTTTAGAGACAGGATTTCACCATGTTGGCCAGGCTGGTCTCGAACTCCTGACCGCAAGTAATCTGACCACCTAGGCCTCCCAAAGTGCTGGGATTACAGGCATGAGCCACAGTGCCTAGGCTGCTGATATAAAATTTTAATAACATCCAAGACATAAATGTACTGTCTATAATTTTAAAAGCCATATAAATCCAAGGTTTATATATGCTTCTGGCTCTTGCCTCCCCATTCTTCTTCCCTAGGGGCAACTGTTTTCCATTCTTAATTGTTTGTTTAGAATTTAGCTCCTCAACTTCTCCCCACAGAACTACTATAATTTTGGTTAAACAGATATTTAATTCATGACGAATTAGTGCTATTTCTACCTAAGCCACACAGTTGACATTTATGGGACGACATTTTGTTTTCTAGCTATTAATCTATTAATTCTCTCCCATTTACATTTGCTTAATTTTCTTTTCTTTTTTTTTTTTTTTTTTGAGACGGAGTTTTGCTGTTGCCCAGGCTGGAGTGCAGTGGCGCAATCTCAGCTCACTGCAAGCTCCACCTCCCGGGTTCACGCCATTCTCCTGCCTCAGCCTCCAGAGTAGCTGGGACTACAGGCGCCCGCCACCATGCCCGGCTAATTTTTTTTTTTAATTTTTTAGTAGAGACAGGGTTTAACCGTTGTTAGCCAGGATAGCCTCAATCTCCTGACCTCGTGATCCACCTGCCTTGGCCTCCCAAAGTGCTGGGATTACAGGCATGAGCCACCACACCTGGCCCATTTGCTTAATTTTCAATGTACCTATCAGGAACTCAGTCACCTATTTTCTGACAGAACAGTGAACAACCAGGAGTCAACCAGTTTATTTTCCCCCCCAGACATCCTTCCTGAGTTCTGTATGCTCCTGGCTCCAGACCCTGGATCAAATCTCCAGATCTGGTACAAAGCTCTCACACTGGGATTTCACTTTTCCATCATTCTGAGAATCCCTTTTATGTCTATTTAATCTATTCTGCCTATTCTGTGTTGCATTCCATGTCTTTCTTGTTCATGGTGTACACTTTCTGTAAAGCACTTTTACATCTTCTGGTAGTTTCCGGAGATGGAGTGCATGAGATACAAAATTTTGGAGATGAGTCAGTAAGACCAAAAATAGAAGCAGGGACTTTCTGAAAGCATCAGTTTCTTTCTTTCCTATTTTTTATTTTTGAGACAAGGTCACACTCTGTCACCCAGACTGGAATGCAGTGGCATGATCATAGCTCACTGCAGTCTTGACCTCCTGGTCTCAAGCAATCCTCATGTTTTAGCCTGAGTAGCTGGGATTCCAGGCACGCACCACCATGCTCAGCTAATTTTTGTATTTTTTGTAGAAAGGGTTTCACTGTGTTGTTCAGGCTGGTCTCGAACTCCTGGGCTCAATCTGCCCACTTCAGTCTCCCAAAGTGTTGGGATTATAGGCGTGAGCCACTGCACCTGGCAGGCATCTGTTTCTATTACTGGTATAATAAATTACTAATTAATACTAGTAATTACTGGTTTCTAATTACTGGTCAAACATAGGTACATTATTGTTCCACCAAAAAGTTTTAAATGGTCTCTCATAAGGAATCAAACCAGCACTGGAGCAGGGTTTATTCGTACATAGTATTCCTTCTTAAACAGATTTCCTAAATAAAGAGGAAATGAATAGCCTTATTCATGGAATAGAGCTATTAGCTGTTTAAATTTATAACTCATCCCCAAATCTCATTTCAGACTATCTTAGCTCCTTCCCAATTTAAATCTTTGTCAAAGCATTAAGACTTCACATTTGTCAAATATTAGAATTACTCTTCCTCCAATTCCCTTTTATCTCCTTCAAATTTTGGCAAAAAGAGAAACCTAAAAACAAAGTTGTAATGTTATCTGTAAATGGATAACTACTACCTGAATAACAGCTGTTTAATACAAAATGGAGATACTTTTTAAAGTATTAACAGATTTTTAACCTTCTAATAGTAAAGTATTTCTTATAAATTTTCCAAAATAATGAACAACAGAGGATGCAAATGGATGGAAAGAGTTGGTCTTTGCATGGAAAGAAGACAGCATTTTTGCTGCTTCCAAGTCAAGTTGCAATGATCATTACTTTTACTCCTCTTATTTTTAAAAAAACTATCTCTGTTTTTGTACTCTGAAATAAAGGAAAAAAAAAAGTAACCTACCTTATGTCAGTAATGACAATGACATGTTCACAGTCTCCCTGATGACAGTATAAGTAAGGAAAACCCAGTTTAATACACAAGTCATTGAAGGTGAAATCTTCCATTCTAGCAGTCTGAAACTTTCCATATCCTCTATCATGGGACTCTGACCACTCAATGATAGTTCTAAGGGGGGAAAAGGCAAGGATATATCATTTTTCCAGAAAAACTTAAAAACTACGGAAAACAGTTTGTGACTGCAGTAATTCACATTAACCTAGCTCACTCAACTAACTGGACAGTTGCCATCTTGAGATGAAGACCAAAATGTTTGATACATGTTGAGATTAGGAATGCTGAATTTTCATAAGGGATCAGTTTTCTGCAGGTTACATGATGTGTATCACTTTAGCTTAAATGCAGAATGTGTAACAATGTCACTCATTATTGAGTTTTGAAAAATATTTTTCACAAAATGTTAGTATGTAATGAGATTTAACATTTCAAATATTTCTTAGTTTCAATGTTTAATATCATAAATATTGATAGTTATAACCCACATAAGCAGAAGCTCATCAGAGTCTTCAATTATTTACAGTATAAAGAAATGCAAGGCTGGGCACGGTGGCTCACACCTGTAATCCCAGCACTTGGGGAGGCCGAGGTGGGCGCATCACTTGAGGTCGGGAGTTCGATTCCAGCCTGACCAACATGGGGAAACCCCGTCTCTGCTAAAAATACAAAATTAGTTGGGTGTGGTGGTACATGCCTGTAATCCCAGCTACTTGGGAGGCTGAGGCAGGAGAATCACTTTAACCCGGGAGGCGGAGGTTGCATTGAGCCGAAATCACGCCACTGCACTCCAGCCTGGGCAACAAGAGCAAAACTGTCTCAAAAAAAAAAACAAAAACAAACAAACAAACAAAATGCTGAAACCAATAGGTTTGAACTGTTGGGTTAGAATACAGATTAAAAATGGCTATAATAGGCTGGGCATTGTGGCTCACACCTATAATGTAGCACTTTGGGAAGTTGATGCAGGCGGCTTGAGGCCAGGAGTTCAAGACCAGTCTGGCCAACATGTTGAAATCCTGTCTCTACTAAAAATACAAAAATTAGCCAGGCATGATGACACACACCTGTAGTCCCTGCTACTTGGTAGGCTAAGGCACGAGAATGGCTTGACCCAGTAGGCACAGGTTGCAGTGAGAGCTGAGATCGTGCCACTGTACGATGACAGAACGACATATTTTTTTTTTTCTTAAAAGGCAACAATAGGCCGGGCGCGGTGGCTCACGCCTGTAATCCCTGCACTTTGGGAGGCCGAGGCGGGCGGATCACGAGGTCAGGAGATGGAGACCATCCTGGCTAACACGGTGAAACCCCGTCTCTACTAAAATACAAAAAATTAGCCAGGCGCGGTGGCGGGTGCCTGTAGTCCCAGCTACTCGGGAGGCTGAGGCAGGAGAATGGCGCAAACCCGGGAGGCGGCGCTTGCAGTGAGCCGAGATCGTGCCACTGCACTCCAGCCTGGGCAACAGAGTGCAGACTCTGCCTCAAAAAAAAAAAAAAAAGGCAACAATAATATATATACTTATATACTCTAATTGCTAAGACATTGATAATGAAAGTATGGTCTCATTAAAATGAGCTTAGATATAGATTTTTTCTATATTATGTACTTAAGCAACATATATATCACCATCATCTAGCACAAACAATAGTATATACTAGATAGGCAGAAAAAACAGTGACAGGTTAATTTACCACTATTACTTATATGTAAAGGCCAGAGACTAATAATGCATGTTAATAGGATTTAATTTATTATTATTTTTTTTTAGAGACAGAGTCTTGCTATATCACCCAGGCTGGAGAGCAGTGGGTATTCACAGGTGAGATTATAGCATGCTATACAGCCTTGAACTCTTGGTCTCAAAAGATTCTCCTGCCGCAGCCTCTGGAGTGGCTGGGACTACTGTACCTGGCTAATTTTTTTTTTTTTGGATGTATGTAATGCTCAAGACAAGATTTATCAATAATTCCTTGGCAAAGGTCCTTAATAGGCCAATAATAGGATTTGTGGAGATAACACTACTTTGATAACTAGAAATAGGAAGGACTTTGAGAAGATTTTTGGAAACTATACCTGCTCAAATCTCTGCATTCCGGGTATCTTTTATCATTATAAAATGTTCCTTCAAAATAAAAGAAGGCTGATTTGTATAGGTCCTACAAGAAAACAGATGGTATTGAGAGAAAGTCAACTATTAACAATTATGAAATTGCTCTAAGTATTAATTCAAAATTTATGTATCATAAAATCACACTAATACAGGTTACAAAAACTGCTGCTACTTTCAATTTTACCCTACTGCTGTTTTAATCACTATGTTTGATTCAAATGTGTATATTCTCCCGAGATTCATGAAAGAAACCCAATTAGAAATCAAATAAACATTATTATTTTATCATATGAATACACAGCAGTAAGTAGTGTTGGATACTAGAACTAAAAACTAAACAAAGTCCTTTCTTTAATGTTTCCCCAGTGATAACAATGATCATCAAGTTATGTTTTTCTGGCATTTTTTGTATTTGCAATGTTTTTACAAAAATTCTCTCTTTATATTTTCAGTAACTCTTAGGCAGACAGAATCTGAATTTCTATTTTTACTCAAGCAATCTTGCCCCAGGTACCATAGTTGTACCACAACTGGTGGGAACCTTCAAGGTTTCTTAACTCATTCTACCACAGCTTCCGTCAAAGGAGTGGCTCTCACTCCTGACTGCAAAATCAAATCACCAAAAAACCAAACACCAAATGTCAACTCGGACTCATTAATTAAGAATCTTTGGGGATCAGTATTTTTCCAAAGCTCTCTAGAAAAAAACATGCAACCAGAGCTGAGAAGCACTCTGTTAAACTGGTCCTTCACCATCTATTTAGACCCCTGGATGAGGGTCAGAAGACCTGAGTTCTTTTCCTTAACCTACCACTTACTAGCTTTGTGATTCTGGTATGTAGCAATCACTTCTCAGATCTGTTTTCTCATCTGTGAAATAAGAATAATAGTATATGCCACGATGTCTTACAGGATTGTGGTGAAGACCAAAAGCAATTTATGTATAGGAGATATATACTTCAGGTACTAAAATAATTTTACCCTAATATTTTATTTTTTTCTCTTACTTCTTTGAAGCTTCCATTTTTCTTTCTTGTCTTCATTCCCCCACTTACAGATCATCTTGTGTTCGCATCAGACACTCTTGTAAGACTGGCTATCTTGTTTCTTCTTGGACCAGTCACTAAATCTCACTCACCCTCTGTTCTCCCATGTAAAATGTGAGTAAAGCCTTTACCTTTCTCATTGGTTGTTATGGAGATTAAAATGTATAATGTACTTAATGTCATATGACCAGCTGCTACAATACAAAATCTGCCACTTAATATACTTCTACACCCTCAAAGAGGTAAGCAGGGTCTGAAATAAAGGTTCTAAATAAATAACTATTGACTTATTTTGGAAACAAAATGAAGTTTAATATATATAATTGTGTTTTACAAAACACTTCCATAAAACCTCATCTTAGGTGATTTAAGCAACTTAATATCTTTTGGCATAATTATTAATTACAAGGTGAACTCTAAAAGAACAAGAATGTTTTCCATTTAAATCAAAAGTCATCCACTAATAAATTTCCCTGGCTGGCATAGTGGCTCACGCCTGTAATCCCAGCACTTTGGGAGGCCGAGGTGGGCAGATCACCTGAGGTTGGGAGTTCGAGACCAGCCTGACCAACATGGAGAAACTCCATCTCTACTAAAAATACAAAAATAGCTGGGCATGGTTGTGCACGCCTGTAATCCCAGTTACTCAGGGGGCTGAAGCAGGAGAATCGCTTGAACCCAAGAGGCAGAGGATGCTGTGAGCCAAGACCGCGCGCCATTGCACTCCAGCCTGGGCAGCAAGAGCAAAACTCTGTCTCGAAAAAAAAATAGAAGAGACAGAAACAATATAACAGTAGATATGTAAATATTTTAAAATACAATTATGGGTTATTTAATCCCTGCTTAGAAAACTTCGGAAGGTATCAGCACCAATGTACAGACCAAGTAAATTGACAAAGCCTGATTAAAACCTTCTCCTGGGCAACACAGTGAGTTGTTGCCCAGACTGCACTTGATCAAAAACAGACAAACATTCTCCAGGGCTTCCTGAAGGTAAGACTGATTCCCAGATCTGACTCAAATTGCTCTGAGCAATGTTCAGATGGTCGGAATGAAGAGGATAAATTCAGATTTTTCTTCTTAGATTGATCTTATTATTTAACAGTTACATCTTATGTTTTTTTTGACAAGATTAACTTTGCAGAAGATTGCCACTGCTGCTTTAAAGAAAAGATAAATCTTGGCCAGGCGCAGTGGCTCACGCCTTGTAATCCCAGCACTTTAGGAGGCTGAGGTGGGTGCATCACCTGAGGTCGGTAGTTCGGACCATCCTGGCCAACATGCTAAAACACCGTCTCTACTAGCCGGGCATGGTGGCTCATGCCTGTAATCCCAGCACTTTAGGAGGCTGAGGCAGGTGGATCACCTGAGGTCAGGAGTTCGAGACCAGCCTGGCCAACATGGTGAAACCCCGTTTCTACTAAAAATACAAAAATTAACTGGGTGCAGTGGGGCTACCTGTAATCCCAGCTACTTGGAAGGCTGAAGCATGAGAATCATTTGAAACTGGGAGGTGAAGGTTGCAGTGAGCCGAGATTGCATCACTGCACCCCAGCCTGGGCAACAGAGCCCCATCTAAAAAATAAATAAAATAAATAAAATAAAATAAAATAAATAAATCTCGTATTTCCTGGTTCGCATAAAATTTTGAAATTCTACTTTTCTTTTTATCCTAATGTTTCTCTCCAAAAGCACTAAGATGGCAACCCTGAAGAACCTAAATATCTAAAAACCATTTTTAGCCTGTGGAGCAGACACACACGCATTACACTGAATCAGCATACTGAAATATACACTACAATGGACAAATGAAAAGGTGCCAGGGTAAAAAAGAAAGGAGTCAAGAAAACTTGTATATAATTGGTGAGTTTTGAGCTGGGTTTGGAAATCTGAGAATGAACTCACAAAATGGATGGAAGGAAGGAAAGGGCTTCCTACCATGTTCAAATACTCAGAAACATGAAAAAGTATGGTACACTGATGAAAATACACAAATTCACTATGGATGAATAAGGTGTAAAGGCAGTAAGTGAACAGTACAGAAAGTTAATTTGGGAATCATCATTATAAAAGGTCTTATATGTCAGCCTAGGGAGGAAAAAAAAAAAAAGCTAACATTAAACCTAAGTTATACCAACATTTATGTGGCTGGTGGAACAGGAACCAGGAAAAAAGGAGATTGTATTGGTTCCTCTCCAAACACTGTCTCCATCCTTGTTGTTCCAAATATCTTTTTACTTATCTCTAGGAGATGCTATCCCTCCCCTGAAATGGCCCTGTAAACCTGAGGCCCTCTGCCAGAGTTGTAGCAGGTATAGTTCAATCCTGCCCTATGATGAAATGTGGAAGGGATCAAGGCCCTCCTGCTTTATTAGGTAAACGATCCTTTCTGAAAACATTGTGGGTAGCCAGTCTACCACACTGCTCCTTTCCATCCTTATGGTATGCAGGACTTCTCTTTCCTTTTGAGAGCAACACATTGGGGAAACACCAGCAAGGACCAACTTTATATGGTCTCTCCTTGTTTGGTACTGGTCCTTGGGCAGCGAAAGGCAAAGAATGGGTGCTAACTATTAAGGCTCTCAGGTCGACTCCAGCCTTTTGCTGGGGGCAATTACGACAGATCGCAACGCTGACAGAGCTTAAAACAAGAGTGAATGAACAGCAAAGTCATATGCTACAGTGAGGTCAAGTTATATAAAAATGGAAAAGTGACCAACTGCTTAGAAAATTAGGTGGTCACTATTAGCCCAGAAGGAAAAGTCTCCATACAATAGTTTAGAAACAAATGAGAGATGAAGAAATCAAAACAGAGTCTAGCCTCTTCTTTGGAAAAGTTCCAGTGATAAAGGGAAAAAATGAGATAGTGTAGTAGCTTGATGGAATCCCACAGGAGAAGAAAAGGATTTACTGGGACATTTATGAACCTGCTAGAGTAATCACTATTTTCTTAGCTTGCTATTTCCTTTTGTTTTATGGGAGGAAATCACCTTACTTTGCTGATGTGCTCAGGGGCTTGGTCAGGAGTGTTGCTGAATTCACCACCAATCTGGAGGTCACTGACACAGCGAATTGAATCCCTCAGTTCTGTGAGCTTTTGACTGCCCAACACCAGCATTGTTTGGTATGGTTTGTGTTCTTTGTGCTAAAAGTCAAAGAATAAATAAGTGTTCATTTAGAGACAAAGCAATAAAACTACAAATCCTGTCATGACTAGAACAAAACTAAATTGCTGATTTTCTTAAGTTTCTTTTTTTTTTTTTTTTTTTTTTGAGATGGGGTCTTGCTCTGCCGCCCAGGCTGGAGTGCAGTGGCACAATCTTGGCTCACTGCAAGCTCCACCTCCCAGGTTCACGCCATTCTCCTGCCTTAGCCTCCTGAGTAGCTGAGACTACAGGCACCTGCCATCACGCCCGGCTAAATTTTTGTGTTTTTAGTAGATACAGGGTTTCACCATGTTAACCAGGATGGTCTCGATCTCCTGATCTCAAGATCTGCCTGCCTCGGCCTCCCAAAGTGCTGGGATTACAGGCGTGAGCCACTGTGCCCAGCCAGTTTTCTTAAGTTTAAATTGTCCCCATAACTTGATGTTCTATATTTTCACATCCAATAATTATAAGGCCAAACTAATGGTCAAAATTCAGAGTGGCTCCCCTGTAATCCAGAGCCACTCTGAAACCACCTCCTTTATCACACAACAAGCCACTATTTCCCTCAACCTGGTATTCCCCCAACCTCAATCCACCCAGGGCCCAGCACCAGGCTACAAGGGACAGCCCCTCTGCCCCCAAACCTACTGGAATTATTCAAATTAGCCAATCCTAAACTGTTTACTCTTCCCTACCTTGTCTTTCCCACAGAAATCCCAATAAAAACTGTGGTCTATGCCTTCCCCTCTCCCCTTTCAGCCTCCTGACTAAGAAGAATGGTGCTTCTTCCTGTGGCCCTACATGGTATGCGCCCTCCTCTAAGGAAATGTAATAAAAATCTTCTTTCAAAGGCATTACAGCCTCTCCATGTCATCACTCAGTCACCTCCGTAAATCAGAATAGTATGGAATGGCCAAGCACAGTGGCTCATGCCTGTAATCCCAACACTTTGGGAGGCCGAAGCAGGAGGATTGCTTGAGCTTAGAAGTTCAAGATCAACCTGGGCAACATAGAAAAACCCCATCTCTACAAAAAATTTAAAAGTTAGCTGGGCTTTGTGATACATGCTTGTAGTCCTAGCTACTTGGGAGGCTGGGGCAGGAGGATTACTCGAGCAAAGATGCAGTGAGCTGCGACTGTACCGCTGCACTCCAACCTAGGCAATGGAGCAAGGCCCTGTCTCAAAAACAAACAAACAAGCAAACAAAAATCCCATAGGTACAACCGACATACTTAGCCATGGAAATTTTCTGGTTTAAACTAAAGCTTATAATCAAGATGATACCAAACTGACATGAGCATTAACAGTCACTGGAAAATAACTTCATTTAGCAAGACTGTCTTAAAATTTCCTAAAAGTTACTTCATTGAGGTCAGGCAATCTATACTGCAACCTAAGGTTATAAACCCAGATGCATTACTTTGGTTTGGTTTGTTTTTATGACTGGTCATTTGGGATCTTTTTTGCGGGGAAAGGGGGCGGTGGAGGGAGCAGAGTCTCATTTTGTCACCTAGGCTGGAGTGCCATGGCATGATCTTGGTTCACTGCAGCCTTGACCTCCCGGGCTCAAGCAATCCTCCCTAGTAGGTGGGACTACAGGCACAAACCGCCACACCTAGCTAGTTTTTGTATTTTTTGTAGAGATGAGGTTTTGCCACATTGCCCAGGCTGGTCTTGAACTCCTGAGCTCAAGTGATCAGCCCACCTCAGCCTTCCAAAGGTGCTGAGGATATAGGTGTGGCCCATTACACCTGGCCAGCAATTTGAGATCTTAATTAAATAAGATAATTAGTACTAACTACATCCCAGATGCTTCGTAAAAGCCTATTTATTCGTAAGTGCAATTTCTATATATTAATATTTCAATGACAACTCATCAGAATTTATGACACATCTATTTAAGGAATCAAGAATATATACACTCTGGGCTAGGAAAGAGTTCTTTCTCCTAAGAGAGTCTTGGATACCCTTGACTTAATAACGTTCTGTATTTTCATCAAAGAGTCATCTCTGGTCAGTTCAATAACTTCCCAAGTATTCTAAATTAGTGAACATAGGTCACTCCATTCCTCTGTTAGCCACCTATTCTGCAAAAATCTCTCAAGAATTTGTAGAATTAGAATCATTATGGATTTACATATACTTTCAGTTGCTTCTAGTGTAGAAATCAGGCATATATTTCAATACTATAGCTGTAATCCTGTTGGATCGAGAGATTGTTTGAAATTTGACCTTATTTCCAATATTCCTTATTAGAACAGATGACACAAGATTACAGATTGTCAACTCTAAAAAGAAAATGTCAAATAGGCAGCATATACTTGCATTTATTAGACAAAATCTCACTCTGTCTCCTAGGCTGAAGTTCAGTGGTGCAATCAGCTCGCTTGCAACCTTGAATTCCTAGGCTCAAGTGATCCTCCCACCTCAGCCTCCCAAGTAGTTGGGACTACAGATATGCACCACCATGCCTAGCTAATTTTTCTGATTTTTAGTAGAGACAAGGTCTCACTATGTTAGCCAGATGGGTCTCAAACTCCTGGCCTCAAGTGATCCTCCCACCGTGGCCTCCCAAAGCGCTGAGATTACAGGCATGAGTCACCATGCCCAGAGCATTTATTTTTTAACGTAAGCATAGGGACATGACTCTTCAAATAATTAAACACTTGTACAAAAGTTACTATTATCCATGAAATCCAAAAGGTTTTACTACTTACCTTATGAAATATAACAGGGTACAGGATATTCACAGACAGGATAAGCTCCCCTTCTTCAATCATGTCTGCTGAATTTTCAGGCTTTTTTCCTATGGCATGTGACTCCTGAAGAAAGAAAAAGAGACAGTGAAATCAGATACTATAACTCAGGTAAGATGCAGTGTGGTACAATGGCTCTCAGCAAGGGACTGAGTCAAGCAGCCTTGGGTTTGAAGCCTAATTATACTCCAGGAAAATTGTTAAGACATCTCTAAGCTTTAGTTTCATCTTCTTTCAATAAACAAACAAAACCAGAAAATACTTACTTTACAAAACTGTTGCTGGGAATGTGTACATAATGCATCTAATAAGATGTGTGGTACTGAATACTTAGCAGTTGATGAGCAAACAGGAGTATCAACTAATGTTGGTATAACACTGGCATTTCCAATTATATTTTTACATTCCTTATCAAATATTCCTATGAAAGCTATTTTACAGATAAAGCTCACAGGTTCAGTGATTTACTCAAGGTCATACCAGAGAGTTAGGATGCAAATACAGATTTGTTTGGCTCTAAACCCCATGCTTTTTATAACACCATGACATCTTTAATATATTTTGATCTTTTATGTGTGCTGAATTAATATAAAACAGGGGCCAGGCTGAACTGGTTTAGATGCAGGATGTTTTAAAAATAAGTGGGAATGATGTCACAAAATAGAGTAGGCAGCTCCAGGGCTCAGTCCCTCTAACAGAAGCAACCCGTAAGCTGGAATGAAAGACTGGAATAAACTACTTTGGAACTCTGGAACTTAATGGGACACTTATAACAATCAGGGGAGTGTTTGATGAAGGGAGAAGTTGCTGCTTTTTATTAGTAAGCACTGTGTGCAAATCAACTACCACCCTCACTCCTTCACCCCTCTGTTGATGAGACAGCAGCCTGAATTCCTGGAGAAGCTGGCTGGTGCCAGGGCAGACAGTGAGGACCTGTTCTCTAAGAACTGGGGATTGTATGTTCTGGTTGGTGTGGTGATACCGAGTGCCTGGCCCAGATACGTGCATTGGTTTTGACCCTCTTGGTGGCAGCAGCTTCCCCCAGCAGGATCTATATTGGAAGACTTAGAGACAAGATGCCTTTTTTCTTTTTGGAGCCAGGTATTTAAGGAAATCTTTGTCAGATCACTGACTGACCACAGAGATAATGAAACAGAAACATCAGTGACCACGTACAGTAAGTAATACACATGCTGCAATAATTGTTTGGAAAAGTCACAGGCAACTCCAGCAATGCACAAGAAAAAATATACCTAGAATGTCTAGTTCTCAACAAAAACATATAAAACACACGAAAGAGGAAAGTATGGACAATTCTTAGGAAAATAAGAATTTGACAAAACCAACCTTGAGGAGGCCCAGACACTGGAATTACTAGTCAAAGTGTCAATTAATTATTCCTACAGGCAATAACTACATTCACATATAAATAAAAGTCCACTAAACAAAGATGTTAAAGCAACTGACTTAAATGTGCTCAACGAGTACCCCAGAAATTTGTACAATTCATTATGTATCAACTTTAAAAATGTGTTCAATCAGCTAAAGGAAACCACAAATACTTAAAGAAAATCAGATTCCTCATAAGATTAACAGCAGTTTTCTCATCAGAAGCCATGGAGGTAAGAAACCAGAGAATGGGCAGATAGACAGATGAACTGACTGATTTTTAAAATCTATCTATCTGTGTAGCCTAGGTTGGCCTCAACCTCGGGATCAAGTGCTCCTTCTGCCTCAGCCTTGTGATAACTGAGACTATGGGAACCCACTACTGTGTTCAGCTTTTAATTTTTTTTACCTCTGGATGACATATTTAACCCCATGAAAGAAAAAAAAAAATCCTGTTAACCACGAATTCTGTACTTGGCAAAACTATCCTTCAGGAATGAAGGAGAAATTAAGCCATTTGCAGATAAACAAAAGCTAGGGGAATTAATTACTACCAGTAGACGTGACCTGTAAGAAGTGTTAAAGAGGATTCTTCAGGCTGAAATGAAAAGACATTAGGCAGTAAACTGAAGCCATAAGAAGAAATAAAGAATACTGCTAAAGGGAACTACATAGGTAAATATAGAAGCCAGTATCACTGTACTTTTGGTTTGTAACTCACTCCTCTATGATTTTTCTGTTTTTCCAATATAATTGCAAAATAAATGGATTAAACAATACTTACAAGGTTATGTTAATGGACACCCAATATATAAAGACATGATCTGTGACAACCCAAAGAGGGACAGACAAAGATGTGGAAGCAGAGTATTTGAATACTATGGAAACAAAACTGACATAAATGCTCAACAATCATGGGATGATGCCCCAATAAACCCCATAAATAAAAAACATCACAAGTGGAAAATGCATTTAAGACCCCAATAAACCCATCATAAAAACACCCTAAGTCAAACCACTGTAGGCTGAGGACTGTCTGTATAAAAGGAAGTTGTTTCAATTTTAAGACTTAATTGTAATCCTAGCTGGGCACAGTGTTTCACACCTGTAATCCCAGCACTTTGGGAGACTGAGGCAGGCGGATCACTTGAGGTTAGGAGTTCCAGACTAGCCTGGCCAACATGGTGAAACCCTGCCTCTACAAAAATACAAAGATTAGCCAGGTGGGTGCTTGTAGTCCCAGCTACTCGGGAGGCTGAGGCACAAGATTCACTTGAACCGGGAAACAGAAACTGCAGTGAGCCAAGATCAGGCCACTGCACTCCAGCCTGGGCGACAGACTGAGACTCTGTCTCAAAGAAAAAAAAGTAATCCTTAAGTTACAGAAAAATAAGATGTTTTCACATGTGTTTGTAGTCCCAGCTATCAGAAAACTGATGTGGGAGAGTCACTTGAGCCTAAGAGTTTGAGGCCAGCCTGGGGAACATAGCAAGACCCCATCTCTAAAAACAAAATTTTTTTAAGGTTTCAATAGACAAAGAAAGATATTATACATTGGGAAAAGCCGCCATCCAGCAAGAAGATATATACATATACAATTACAAACTTATATACAGCTAACAGAACTCTAAAATTTAAGAAGCATGGGAGACCAAGGTGGGCAGATTGCTTGAGTCCAGGAGTTCAAGATCAGCCTGGGCAACATGGCAAAACGCCATCTCTACAAAGAATACAAAAACTTAGCTCAGCATGGTGGCATACGTTTATAGTCCTGTCTACTCGGGAGGTGGAGGTGGGAGGATAACTTGAGCACAGGAAGTTGAGGTAGCAATGTGCAGTGATGGCGCCACCACACTCCAGCCTGGGCAACAGAGCAAGACCCTGTCTCAAAAAACTTAAGTAAAATAAAATATATGAAGCAAAAAGCCAAGAGAATTGAAGAAATAGACAGTTCTATGGTAATAGTTGGAGACTTTAATATCCCACTTTCAATAACGAGTAGAACAACTAGACAGAAGATCAATAAAGAAACAGGAGACTTGAACAACTGGAACAATTAGACCTAACAGATATACAAAGAACTCTCCATCCAACAACAGCTGAATACAGGTTCTTCTCAAGTGCATATGAACCATTCTCCAGGATAAATCAACAAATCTTAAATTAAAAAAAATTAAAGTAATAAAGGTATCTTTTCTGATCATAAGTATTAGAAATCAGTAACAGGAGGAAAATAGGAAAATTCACAAGTATGTGGAAATTTAACAACACACTCTTGACAAAAATCACAGCACAGGAAACTTAGGGAGATGCAGTAAAAAGAGTGATTTTAAAAAGTTATAGCTGTATAACTTTATATAAAAAGAACAATCTCAATAACTAGATAAGGAATTAAAAAGAATAAACTAAACCCAAAGCTAGCAAAAAAAAATGGAAATTATAAAGATGAGTGGAGACAAATGAAACAGAAGAGAAAATATAGAAAAATCAATAAAAACAAAAACTGGTTCTTTGAAAACATCGAATTTGACAAACTTTTACTGCACTGATTAAGAAAAAAGAAGACTCAAATTACTAAAATGAGAAGTAAAAGTGGAGACATTACTACTGATTTTACAGGAAAAAAAGGATTAGAAGACAAAACTATGAACTACTGTTTGCCAACAAACTGGATAATCTCGATGAAAAGGACAAAACCCTGGAAACATACAAACTATCAAAAGTGATTCAAAAAGAAACAAAAAATCTAAGTAGACATGTAACAAGTAAGGAGGTTGAATCAGCAATGAAAAACCTCCCAAAAAAGAAAAGTTATCAGAACCAGATGACTTCACTGGTAAATTCTACGAAATATTAAAAGAAGAATTAATATCAGAGTTTCTCAAACTCTTTCAGAAAATTTGAAAAGCAGTAAACACTCCTAACTCATTCTATGAGACCAGCATTATCTTGACACCACAGTGAGAAAAAGACACTACGGGAAAACTACAGGCCAATATCCCTTTATAAATAGGAATGCAATAATCTCAACAAAATACTAGCAAAGCAAATTCAGAGCCATATTAAAAGGATTTTGTCAAATGCGTTAATTTTTGTGAATTTTCCAACTTTTCTTCTGTTTATAAGAAAAGGTACTTTTCATGATTACAATTTTTACTGAATTCCACAACCAAGTGGAATTTATTTATCCTCAAAATGCAAGGGTAATTTAACATTAGCAAGTCAATCAATATAATACACCACACTAATGGAATCATGAGGAAAAAAAAAACAGATCATGACCTCAATTGACACAGAAAAGCATTTGACAAAAATCTAATACCCTTTCATGATAAAAACACTAAATAAAATAGGAACAGGGCTGGGTGCAGTGGCTCATGTCTGTAATCCCAGCAATTTGAGAGGCCAAGGTGGGTGGATCACCTGAGGTCAGGAGTTCAAGACCAGCCTGGCCAACATGGTGAAACTCCGTCTCTACTAAAAATACAAAAAGTAGCCAGGCATGGTGATGGGTGCCTGTAGTCCCAGCTACTTGGGAGGCTGAGGCAGAGGTTGCAGTGAGCCGAGATTGCGCCACTGCACTCAGCCTGGGCGACAAAGCGAGACTCTGTCTCAAAAAAAAAAAAAAAAAAAGGAATTAGGAAAACAATTTCACTTACTATTAATAGCATTCAAAAGAATAAAATATTTAGGATAAATTTAACCTTTAACCAAGGAAGTGAAAGGGTTGTATACATAAAAAGTATAAAACACTGCTGATAGGCCAGGCACGGTGGCTCACGCCTGTATCCCAGCACTTTGGGAGGCCGAGGCGGGTGGATCACCTGAGGTTGGGAGTTTGATACCAGCCTCACCAACACAGAGAAACCCTGTTTCTACTGAAAATACAAAAAATTAGCCAGGCGTGGTGGCACGCACCTGTAATCCCAGCTACTCAGGAGGCTGAGGCAGGAGAATCGCTTGAACCTGGGAGGCGGAGGTTGCGGTGAGCCACAATCGCGCCATTGCACTCCAGCCTTGGCAACAAGAGCAAAACTTAGTCTCAAAACAAACAAACAAACAAAAAAAAAACTGCTGAAAGAAATTAAGTATCTAAATAAATGGAAAGAAATCTCATTCATGGATTGGAAGACTTGATATCATTAAGATCTCAATACTCCCCAAAGTAATCTACAGGTTCAATGCAATCTTTATCAAAATCCCAATGGCATTTTTTCCAAAAATAGAAACACCCATCCTAAAATTCATAGGGAATTTCAAGGGACTCTGAATAGTCAAAACAATCTTGAGTAACATGAACAAAGCTGGATTTTGAAATCATACTCCCTGATTTCAAAATTTACTACAAAGCCAAAGTAATTAAAACAGAGTAGTTCTAGGTTAGAATAGACATCTAGACCAACAGGATGTAACAATGAAACTTATATGGTCAACTGACTTTGGACAAAAGTGCCAAGATCATTCACTAGGGAAAGGACAGTCTGGAAAAATTAGATAGCTATATGCAAAAGAACGAAGTCAAACCCTTACCTTACATCATATAGAAAAATCAACTCAGAAGTGGATCAAAGACAAACTTAGGAGCTAAAGCTATAAAACTCCTAGAAGAAAACATATGGGAAAGTCTTTGTGATGCTGCATTAGGCAATGTTTTAAGTATGACATCAAAAACAAGGACAACAAAAGAAAAAGAAAAACTGTACTTCATCAAATTTAAAAACTTTTCTACATCCAATAACATTATCAAGAAAGTAAAAAGGTTGGGTGTGGCTGCTCACACCTGTAATTCCAGCACTTTGAGAGGCCGAGGCGCATCGATCACCTGAGGTCAGGAGTTCGAGACCAGCCTGGCCAACATGGTGAAACCCCATCTCTACTAAAAACACAAAAATTAGCTGGGAGTGGGCCGGGCGCGGTGGCTCAAGCCTGTAATCCCAGCACTTTGGGAGGCCGAGACGGGCGGATCACGAGGTCAGGAGATCAAGACCATCCTGG